TAGCAACAGGGTCGCGTTGGATGCCCAAAAAGCCAGGATAGTCATATCCCACTGGTATCTCTCCACGACATTGTTGATCTTATCCATGGCAGTAATCAATAGCTTTGCCAACAGTTCACGGCTGGCATGGTAATGCGCATATCGAGCCCCCAGGAAGATCATGTTCGCGGGCACAGGTTTTTGTGATGGTGATCGTTGCGGGGTCATGTTGGTGATGACAATGTCCAGGATGCTGTCCAGCTCGCTCTCCTGGAAGACAAACATTTGATCGTGGAGACACCTCGCCCAGTCGAACTCTTGCTGCTCTTCCTCAAATTCGTCAATAGGCTAGCGCATGGTCAGCATAGCAATATGGTGTGAGCGGGTTTGAATTCCTTGGTGGAGGGGAGTGCGAACCTCGGGTTGGTCGTCCATGCCCACGTTCCCTAGATCAACTTCCAGATCACGAGCACTCTCCATCATCATTCTCCTGCGCATCTCATTCTCGGCCAACTCTTCCTCGAACTTGTCTTGAGAAAAGCCTGGATTGTAAAAGTCGTCGGCACCAGCCGTGCCAATGCTATATCCGCTGTCGTGGAGATAGAAAGACATGTCGCTGTCCGGGGCAACAAAGTCGAATGCAGTTCGTCCTGTAGAGGTCTTCTTCTCGGGAGAAGCGCCGTTGTCGAGTAGTAGCTTTGCAATGCCCTTGTGTCGATTGGTCATAGCCCACATAAGCGCGCTCCATTGATTGCGGTCTTGCTTGTCGACATCAGCTCCGGCGTCGAGAAGGACTTGTACTGTGGACTCGTGTCCCTGTTGCATAGTTCTGTTAGTAAAACCTTCCCATGCATTCGGTCTGATATGGGGACAGAGCCAACTTACAAAACAGCTTGCGTAGATCAGGGCCGGTGTTCCTTCTTCATCTGGCGCATTGAGATCTACGTATTGTCTAGCTGGGCCATCTAGGATTTTACGGACAGACTCGACATTGCCATTGCTTGCAGCCATAATGAAGGCTCTTTGGAGGACATCCTTCTTCTCGTCCTGCGGCATCTTGTCGTCGTTGGCGATCTGATTCTCATCCTCAAATATTGCGCTAGCCGAATGCGCGGCCTGCGCAGCCAGCATCTCCATCAATCTAGTCTCGCTGTCGGCCCCGCCCTTGGTGATGTCCTCGTCGAACTGGGAGTCGTTAAGATTAAGGTTGCTGAAGCTCAGAGGCTTGGCCGGTATGGGTGTTGTCAAGAACTGTGATTGTCCTGATGAGACGGAGAGTCAGTACGAGGGCTGGCCAGTCCGAGACATGAAGCGAGGAATGATAGGTTGTATAGAGTAGACAAGGGGCAACCGACCTTGCCATCCGTCATACATCTCCGTCTCTGTGACCAAGTGTTCGTTAGGAGCATGTCTCCTGTCATCGAGGGAGCGCGGTAGATCGGGGGGCAACTGCTGTTTCTTCTGCTGCTGTGGTTCATATCCTCCCCCGTCGCTTCCAAAACCTCCTTCGTCTCCGCCGCCGGCACCGAAGCCGCCATCGAAACCCCCGTTATCCATTGGTACGGGTCGAGCGTAGCATGCGGCGAGCGGTGTCGGGTCTGAGCGCAGGTCAACCAAAGCGGCGGGTTGTTCTTCGGGCAAGGCTATAACGTCAGCGTAGGAAATTGTATCCAAAGATGTCGGTCGAAGTCGAACTGAATTAAGCGCACTGCGGCCGAGGATGAGGGTTCAGGGCAGGCCAGGACTTGGTCGGTGTAGAGTTGGGAGAGCAGGCGGAATGCAAAGAAGGTGACGTTGCTTTAGCTGGCTGAAGAAAGGAAGAGGAAGTGACAATAAATCTCGACCAGGTAATTCCTGTTAGGGGTTCAGTTCAAGCGACAGCCGGGCTGGAGTTGCGCCACGGAAGCAGGGCACCCAGGACTTGTCTATTCGTACTGCACTTGGTGGTCAACGCAGGAAGGACAGAGACGGTGGACGTATTGATGCCCTCGGTTGCTTCAAGTTAGGCCCCACCACTGACGTTACCACTGTACTACCGCTGTTATCGATTCTAAGGCGGTCCGTGCTTTTATACCTGTAGGTAGTGACCGGGCTCCGCTTCGATGTCACAACTTTTGGATTATATCATGTTCAACAGCGCGGAGTGACAGCTTGACAGCAATGTATTGGAAAGCTCCATGAGCGATTGAATTAACCCGATGCATTGCTGTACGATTCCTGGACGACGCGTCCTAAGATCTGAGGTCACCCAAGTACAAACGTCGGTGAGGGCATCTCGACCGGTAGTTTGTGGGGAAATAAGGACCCTGATTGTTATCGAGCCTAGCGAGGAGCTAGCGATCTTTACTTCTGGGGTGCCGACTGCTCTACTCAAATTTAAGCTTCGCAACAACCTCGTCTCGTGGGCAGCCGTGCATCCTTCTAATTTTATTCTACGACGAAAGCTGATTGAGAATTAGACTTTGTGACTTAAGCGCAGATAATCAAAGATCTGAGAGATTTCAATCCTTCGCGCTCAAATGACTGCACTTGCCCATCATACTAAATGAGGTCCTCCCCCTTTTTATGTGGATCGCTCGCTGTTCATGGCTCCCCGTAAATGCTGCCCTCACCGAATAATTGCCTTCAGATATATAGCTTGGTAATTTCTTAAACAGCCCTCTTCGCAAACACCCGCAGTCTTTTCACTCCGCCATCAGGCACAATGATGAGCTTGACGTGGGTGAACGGCTTGTCCTTCACCAAGCTTTCGACAGGGTGTTCCTGATCGGGACCGCACTTGATGGGCTCAACAACCTCTGTCCAGCCCTCAGCATCCGCTCCCGGCTCGCCCTCGCTCTTCCACTCGATAGCTTGCAGCTTGACCTGCTGGGGGTAGTTACCGCGGAAGTGGGCCGTGTCGACGATGAAGTTCTGGATGTAGCCGGGCGCGCCGAGTCTGATGATGGTCCAGTCGACGTGGCCCTTGGTGCGCGAGCGTGCTGTCTCCCAACCGTCGCCCATGTCCTTGCCGCGGCCCGGAAGGATAAGGTTGTCCTTGGTACCAAAGTGCTGGTCACTGCAGGAGATTGCAACTCCGCCGTTCTGGGCAGCCGCCAAGTCAAAGATGGCATCTGTATCGTCGGGGAAGACCGGTACGGCGTGTCCAAACAGACGGAACCTGGCGATGCCGCCGTCGGGGTACATGTTTAGTCGCACATGGGTGTACTGCTTCTCGGTAGGGCTCTCGAGTTTCCAGCCGAATCTTTGCGAAGGGCCGCACTCCTGAACACCAAGAATAGTCTCCCATCCACCACGCTCGCCCTTCCATGACAGAACCTCGTCGTCGTTTTGGCTGAAGCAACCCTCGACCGAGATGGCGGGCGCATGGTTGCCATTGAAGAAAGCCGTGTCAATCTCGACACCCTCGATGGTACCCGAGGCGACGCCCAGACGGATCACAACCCAGTCGAACTCGGCGGGGTTGTGTCTCCTTGTCTCCCATCCGTCATACCAGGCGCCGGTGTAAACCATCTTTCCGGGCTGGCGGATAGGGGCTGTAGGAGTGAGGAGATTGGCTGCTTCGGCGAACCATTCGTCCGAGAAACCGAGAACCTTGCCACCGAGAGCCCCCGAGATAAGATCTGTATCCCAGCTCGACTTCCGTTAGTTGAAAGGTTTGGGTTGCCATGTTTGGTGAGATGGATGCTACGGACCGATGGTGCTGGAACGGAAAGTCTTGTCGATATCATCGGCGGCAATCCGAGTGGCCGGAACAGCCTCGAGCTTGTAATCGATGTCGGTCATGGTGAGGGAAATGTGTATTTAAATAAGTGAGACTTCAGTCCTTGATGTTACAGAGAAAAAAAAAACAGAAAGGGAACGAGCGTCCTCGGGATAAACCAAGAGCAGGCGGCAGATTTTATATCACCACAGCAATAAACAGGAGCGATAGCTTAATCAAGATAGTGCGTTAGGGAGGTCAAAGTACGTAACAGCAACGACAATCGTGGTCCTTCTTCGTCGTACTCAACCGTCGTATTTGATCTACAACGAGAGTCACCGGCCGGCTCCGACACCGCTCCACTACCTAGTGATAGTTCCCTTCCTACAGGCTAGAGGTATGGCTCCTATTTCCGTCCTCCGCATTTCTCGGGAGGACCTGGTGCTAGCGAGGGAGGGGCCGGTCTTTTGGATTCCTATGGCACTACGCAGTACAGTATTTAGTATAGCACAGTACTAGTACCTCTACGCAGTGTACATTCCATACGGCGGGGTTTCGGGCGAGCACGTATCTCCCCGCCCGATAAAGCTTATTCAGGTCAGAGCGGGCATCCAGCTCAAATGCCACACAGTGATGATGGTGTTGTGAACACGATACGCAGGGATAAGTATCTCGGCAGCTACAGTAGCAGTGCTGTCGTCTCACACCGTGTGCGGGTTTACTCACATGGCAAACGGAGTTGTGATTGGTGCGAGTAGTGTATAAGGTTAGTAGTGCAAGGACGGAGGAGCTTGGGGCATCTACTATGTACAACCTCAGCTCTTTCAGCCAAAGCTCTTGTTCGTTTCGTCATCAGTGTTCGCAGCTACGCAATCACCTCCAAGCAAGTCGGTTGACTGTACGAATAACTGCTTGGTTTCTAGTATCTGCGTTGGTTCTGAAGGTTTCTGTACAATCTTAATTAGTAGTCGGTCTTCGATGCGCATCAATATTGTCATTGACAAGACTAACCGGAATCCAATGGACTTGCATCTCGCTCGTGCGCCTCGAAAGCGAACATTGCATCGTCGTGCCTCCTAGATGTCCGAACGTTTCTCTTCCCCTCATCACATCAGAGGAAGTGCCTTGATACTGTATGGCAGGGTACCAGCGTTGCTACCGGATTTGTGACCACGTTCACACCTGCTCAGATAAGCAACAGGTACCAACTACCCAAGGGTGCACCACTGCAAGCCGTCTCCTCCTCTTCCCTCCAGCCCTCTGAATAAAAAGACCACCTTCCCCGCGCCACCTGCTGGTCAAACTATCTTCCATCTTCTGTGGCTCGAAATACAGACTGAACTTAAACCAACCACAAGAATTCACCCACCTTGCATCAAGACGTCGGACATTACTTGCTTTAGACGCATGATACTTAGGCTCGGCCACCGAAACAAGTGCCTTCATTGTCCGAGACTTGATAAATAAATTGAAAAGAAGCTCACAACCATGGCTCCCTCGGAACCATCAACACAATCTCCTCCTCCCCTCAGCACAACTGATGATGAGCCCGCTGCCCCAACGGAAAGCGAGCCACTACTTGGAGGACCAGGCGACGCTCTTCAAAAGCCAGACGCTCCTATCTTCTTGAACCTCGTTCTTGGTATGTCCACTCTACACTCCAAAGCACCAAACGCTGTTGTATCCATTCTTCCCTTTCTTCTGTACTCTACCATCCAAATTTGTGACCCTGCATTACTAAACCCCCACCTCCCATCCACAGGAACAGCCTGGCTCTCCCAACTTGGCGCTCTCCTCCTTCTCATAGCCACCTGGTCGGCCGTCTTCCTCCACAAGCTCGGCGCTCTCATCTCTCCACACCCATTGCTCCAATCCCTCGGCACCTTCCTCCTCATCCAAGCGATTCTAGTTCTCCAACCAACCTCCACCCCCGACGCCAAACGCCTCGGCCAGCGCATCCACGCCTCCCTCCACCTCCTCTCCTTCCTCTGCTTTGTTTCGGGAATTACCATCATCGAAACAAACAAACACGTCAACCACCTCGCCCACTTACACTCTCTGCACGCCTACCTGGGCGTGATCACTGGCACTTTGCTGTTGGCCCAGTACGTGTTTGGGATTTGTATCTGGGCTGTCCCCGCCGTGCTGGGAGGGGAAGAGAAGGCTAAAAGTCTGTGGAGGTATCATCGGTACGCTGGTTACGGACTGTTGGTGTTGGTGCTGGCTACCGTGGCCGCGGCGGCGGATACCGATTATAGTCGGAATGTGCTGAAGATCAAGGGGTGGACATTCGGATTGGGGATTGCACTGGTTGTGGTGGGAGTTTATCCGAGGGTGCAGTTGCGGAAATTGGGGATCAATACTGCTAGGCAGGAGGCCACGCGTGCTGTTTAAGATTTATAGATAAGGAATGAAACTGAGGATCGAAGGGGGGAAAAAAGGTTCGTGACGATGGGCGGCCCGGCTGAGGCTCTTTTTAGGAGTGAGGGGCGCCTGCTGGAAGGGTTTTGGTTCGGTACTGCCCTCATGGTGTTTATGTTTTTCTTTGCTTTTCTTATGCACACGGTAATACGCTTTGGTCGCTGGGAACGTGGGAGAAATCAGGGAGATGATGTTTGTTACAAGGTTTGATGGGCACGACAAATCGGATTTATGGGATACCGCGACTATGGCTCTTATCATCTTTGCTTTCGATGAAAGCTACAAAACAGCGTTTGAACATTCAGTCTTTGCTGAGGATGAAATCGGTTCCGATCACTCAATTTTACCAGCAGATGATTAGATCATGACCTGTGTGTGTATCTCATTCCTCGTCTGACTAGGGTATAATAAGTAATAATAGTACGTAAATCCACGCTCCCCGCCCCAAAGCATCCCCGAGAAGCATCTCTCCCTTGGTATACATTTGCCGTAAATTTTCCCGTCGTACAGAGCGCCTCGAAGCCATCATCATTAAACACGAGCGGTACGTAACTGAACCCACCAAACAATCATAGAACCATGATAGAGTTCCGGCTTGTTTCATCCAGTCTTCCCGCTGCTCTTCCCTCCCCCTTTCTTCTTGTCTTGCCTGCTTCGACTCCATGCCATCTTGCGTACGCCTTTTTCTATTCCCGCGTCGTCGTCCCCGTCTTTTTAGAAACATTCTTAATTAGGTTTGGTGCATGATAGTTGTCGTTAAGCGTCGTAAGTTGGTTTCTGCGGGTTGTCCAAACGACAGTGTAGACGGGCAATCCATAACCCAACAACCCGCTTGCCGTCCCGTCCCTCCTCGCTCTTTCTGTCCCTTCCCGCTCGCAAGAGCCGTTATTAAAGCAAACGTGTCGTGGTAATAGAAGAAGAAGAAGAAAAGAAGAAGAAAAAAAAAAAAAAACATGTGATCGCTCTTTCGTGTCTTCATATCCGTTGGTGTATTTTTGCCATTTTGCTTTTTTTCCTGTTGGGGGGTATATGTGCGAAGAAGGAGGTCTCGCCGCCGTCGTGAAGCAGAAAAGGGAAGGTGGTTCTCCTGTTCGGGATGAGCACCGGCAGAACCATGTCTATGGGACACCCACTTGCAAGCGCTCAAGTATCCCCAGAAACTCATCTTTGAATACCGTTGACCTCGGTTTTCGAGACTTCAACCTGTACTGGCCCTTCTATGGGAACTGGTTAGGCGGAACCGTCGGCCAATCGTCCTCGGTAATGCTGGACCAGAAGACCCAGTTCATTACTACCGCCAGGAGAGTAAAGAGGGTTTCAAAAAGCGCGCCATCTATCTTTCCAGATGTGCCGTCACAAATGTATTTGCTGACGACATAATTGAAGACTTGGCCTGCCGCGAAGAGGATCGCAGCAGAGGCCAGATAGAGCATCGGGCGCGTTTCGCCGAGAATCTTGATGACCAGGATGGCCTCCAGGACAAAGTAGGCGACCAGGAAAACAAGGGGCGCAAGCTGGTAAAGCACGTAGAGTGCAATGTGTCGGTTTTTGGGCAGCTCATAGCTACTATCCCAGTAGCCTGTCCAGTGCAGTCCAGTATCGAGAGCGATGTAACCAGTTCCGACAAGCAGAATCGCTGCAGAACCAACTATCAGAGCCAGTGAAAGTAGAGTGCCATCATCGAGCAGTTGGTAGCCGACGATTGCGTTGAGCATCAGTATCCAGGTAGTGGCGATGATGAAGCCGATGTGAATGGCTGTGAACGCCTGGGTGCGAGTCAGTCGAAACGAAACAAAACACGAGAAACTGCTTGCCGCCCTCTGCCCAGGCCAAACTTACGATGCGGACTGTAGAATTCAGCGGGAAATCTCCCACTGTGAAGATCTCACATATCGATATAACAATGTAGCCCAAGAGGAAGACTTGCATTTCTCTGCCGAGTTGTTAGTTATCATATCCCCAAGTTATCGTCCGGTGATTTGGAACAAGCATACCGACGACCAACCGCAGCTCGTTTCCGCTCAGACCTGTAGAGCAGATACATAGAAGTAAGAATCGCAATTGCGCATAGCAGTATGGATCCTGCGCTGAGTCAGCACATGCTCGCGTTGATATCCATGCAACATACCTAGGTTCCCAAGCCTCTTTCCGTTCGACAGAGGTATTCCTCTCAACTGGCAATTATCCGAGCCGTCCCATGGTCCAGACTGGCTGTGTTTATCCGAAAGGAGCTGTTTTTCCAAGAGATGGCCGTGTTAAGTCAGACTGAAGAGCAAACAGGGACGAGGGTCTGAGAGAACATGGTTCCGGGGCGCAGGAACCATCGCCTTCACCAGAGGGGGTAGGGCCCTACTCACATTGCAGATAGGAAGAGTCGAATCTCGACAGAAGTCCTGTAAATATGGAGGCGCCAAGAGTCAGAATCTGTGTTTCTGAAAGGAGAGCCGGGCGCCTTCTGCGCCCACCGTCTTCGGCGTTGGGAGCTCACATGAAAGTTGCCAAATTGTGTTGAGCCCATGGTGTCGTCTAGTATGCAACCGCTGCGGTGCGTTTGGATTGAGAGCTACTGCGGAGAGAGACGTGCTTCCGTAATATCTGCCGGAGGTATGCCTTTGCGTCTCCGGCTGCCGCTCAATTGCAATGGCAGATGCCAGAATATGCGCGTGTCGACCTGATGCCGTCGTCCGCCCTTTGTGACCTTTCAATCCTTCAACGCAGATATCCTTTGGCTGACGGTTGTTTCTTTGTGTTCAGTTGGGAAGACCCGTTGTCGCTGGCGTGTGGAAGATGCGATCAAAGTCGATCGAAGATCTGGTTTGTGGCGTGAAGATGGGACCCGACTCTTAAGTTTGTTTCTGCGCAAATCGATCCCTCCTCCCTGTGTGTGTTTCGCGTCGCCAATGGTCGTCCTTGGTGTGCGCTATGTGCTTTGGAACCGAAGATTAGGAGTAACGGCGATGCCCTATTATTGGCTCGAATGTCGCGAAGAAAAAGAAAAACAGGGACGTGGAGTAGAAGCGCAGGGCAGGTGGTCCCGATGGATTTGTATGGATGCCGACGATGGGGGCGGAGAGAAAACAACAGACACGGGAAGCTCACGGCGGCCTGGGGTTGGCGGGTCCGCTTGCAAAATATAAAACTCGACTGGTAGGCCACTCACCTACTATGTAGGCCGAGGGCAAGGGAATTTACACACACACTGCATGGCATCGATTGGCACTCTGGCATAGTATTGGCAATGGCTGGGTACTAACTGGGTGGTCGCCCAGTGGCCGCGCTCCCTCGTCGCTTCCATTCGGGCAGCGGTAGCGGCAGCAGGAACAGGCTTAGGGCGCTAATTTTTGACTGGCCAGGTCGTGTCTAGGGCTCCTCCTCTTGGCTTTTGACCGCATGTGATTGGTTCGAAAGCTCTAGCTCTTGCTCTATATGGAAGCCGAAGCCCAGCCTTCGAAATGACCAAGACGTGACAAGCAACCTGATGGGTTACGTTTCGTCCAAATCATCCCAGCGTTACACTTGCGCTGGCCTCTCTGAAACTATTTCACTTCCGGACGAGGTCACAACGCAACGACATGCTGGCGAATGGTTCTGCTTTTCCTTGAGTTTGTTCTTTCCCTGTTGTTATTGCGCGTTCCCTCCCTGCCGGGTGAGTTGGTGATAGAAAGGGATGAAGCGAAAAACCATATACGAAAAGAGAGTCAAGGCAGGGGTCCAGGACCCAGCAACACCACCTGACACGAAGACCACGACACCCCAAACTCCGGACTAGATCGGCGAACCGTGGGTCTCGGAACTCGAGGTCTTACACTACTCTCTGGGACAAGCAAAACGTTGGGCGCGGTTCCGAGTAGCCGGCCTATATCACCGGCCATTATAGCTACATATCTCGCCCACAATCAGGAATCCGAATGGGACGCAATTGGACACGCTGTTCGTGAGGTTTACCTACAGGTCCTAAGGGACGCGAAACTTGGTCGCTTAAGGTGAGTAACCTCCATGTCAATATTCTCACGCACGATGAGCTGGACAATACACACCCGCAACGGAAGCTGGTGAGAAGCGGAACCGAATGACGACCAGGCCAAAACCACGGATGGCCTACACTAGAAAGTACCACCGAGCCAGGGTCAGCGGCGTGCCCGCACATCCTTCTGCAGATTATCCAGATACAGCTGAGGTTCAGGCGATTCCGACGCCTGCAACAACTCCGGCTTCTCGAACACCAAGGCTGTGTGTTCCCTCCTGCAGGGCGCATCCATGCGTCGAATTTTCAGGCGAAGACGAGCCCAACGGATCAAGTTCGATATGATCATGTCCAATCATGTCTTTCTTTAGTTTCCATCCGTACAGCCTTAACCCGAAATCCACACTCAGCATACATCAACTGGTTCATTGATTCATCATGTGGAAAGTGTCAAGAGACACTTGTGTACACAATGGACTTCTTCCGATGCTCAAGCTGGTATACACACCTGATATGGTGTCCAAAAGGGGAATTCCCAACTGTCCACCCCTAGTCTTTTCGTTGGCGCGGGACTCCACTACGCACCTCATTCTGCACAACAACTTATCTATCCACCATGATCTCAATGCTTATATAAGTTTCTACCAGATGCGTTTCGGAAGCTTCATATATTCTTCTTAATAGTTTGTTTCGAATGTGGTTATTCTGATGTTTACCTGTATATTCTTTGCAAACCCCTTGTTGGAAGAACCGCGCTAATCACCAAACCAGCATTGAACATGAAGTGGAAACTTGGGGTCCAAATGAAGTCTCCGGCCACCCCCAACTGAGGTTTTCGCACCAAAGCACCTCCTGTACACTCGCGAAAGGAAATACCATAGCATTCCAGACATCCAAAACCAGTGTCCCAAATGACTTCGTCTTCAGAATTGAACATTTGATCAGCTACGGCGGCTCTAACATATTTATTAGCTTTTTCCCGTAACGAAAGTGAAGTCGGAGCGTACATCTTTGACGGGGGATTTGCAGGTGGCCGAAGACATTCAAACCCACACTGGGTGGCTGCATGGCTACCAGGTCCAGCCAGGTACGAACCGCATGCAGCGAGAATACCTAGGTCGCACCACATCAGGGCAACAGGAAAAGCATGGCCTCGTGGGCCGTTCAACAAACGGAGAAAGATAGCAAATTGGATGACGCGTGTTTGATGGCTATGATAATCAGATCCTAGTGTACCTTTGCTCACCCAGGGGCTTAGAAGGTCATGTTGCGACTGTCACTCAAAGCACCAACTAGAGCAAGCCGGGGAGTTATTGAGCAGGGGCATGTGCAGGTACAGCTGTGCAGGCACCCAGGGGTGCACCACGGTGCTATAGAGGTAGTCTGAGTTGTACCACACACAGAGGGGAGTCGATAAGGTACACTTCCACTCCCACTTCCTCTAGAAGACTCCAACGGAAGTAGAAGCTACATCCAGGTATTTTCTTTCGGGACGCAGTAGGTATACACGAATACCACTAGTACCTAGTACCAGCTTCGTGTCATCAGCCATTAGGTTGGAAGCCATGAAGAGGAATACCTAGAGGTACCTCTAGCTAGTAGGTAAGATCTCAACTGTCACCCGGCACGCACTATTTGACTTGTGACGCACAGCCTGAAAGTGCACTTTTCGCTCGCAAAAGAGTGCCCGAGGTGGTTAGGCCTGGTAGCATCCATAGGCTCCATTTCTGTTAGTGCACTTGCATTTAGGTATCTGTACCTCCATTTGCACCTTTGCGTACCTACCTAGGTATATAGAAATTATATTTGAAAGCTTCACTCCTTTTGATCCTCTTCTTGCCTCAATTCTTGCCAAGTCTTTCCCTATCTTTCAGCTACAATGCAATCCAAAATCCAGCTCTGCACAGCAGTACCTACCCCGGATTCATGCATACAGTGTACTGTGGTAGCACCCTCTGCACTTAAACGCACACTTGTTGATAACATGCAAAACCCTGCTTAATACCCCGATTGGAGTTCTAGTTACCGCATGTGCCTACGAGCTAGCGATGATCTATTTTCTCCAGACATTGCCCCTGGACCTCGTGGAAGAAGTTCGAATAAGGTGTACCACGCAAGCGAATGTTCAAGCAGGAGGCTCTGTGCCCGTTCACGAGAGCGAACCCAAAACAGCGGGAACGGTGGTACGGACCGTTCCTGTCATCCTCAGGCCATCGGGCAGGCTCTGGGTAGTGGAGGCACAGCAGACGGCCCGGACTGTTGGACGTCAGGATCAGGTTGGAATGATATCATGTACTTGAAATAGGAACATATTACTGTAGCTGTTCGGGACCGTAGGCCACGGCAGTACGGCAGTGATTATGTGGGCGAGGAATGTGCCTCCGGTAGGAGTCATGATGAGAGGTGATGATTTCGTAGGCTTCGGCTGTTGACTTGTATTGAAGTCACGGATGGTCTGGAGGGCCCTTGATACCTAGGTAGCTTTGGGGGTTTAAGGTTCAGGTTCGTTCGCTTGCATTGAATGGCTTCTCCACCATTGCAGCTTCTATGTACCTTTGTTAAGACACTGAGAGAGAACAACAGGAACAATAACAATAATATGAATCATGCTTTGTCATGGACAATGCCAAGCACTGTCTGGGGATCTCGGTCTTTCGGATACTCTTTCTGTTTCTTCTTGGATATCTTGAAGAATTTGTGGTCAGATACCTCGGTGCGTTAACCTCGCAATGTCTTACTGTGACAGCTATGATGTTGACATCGATGTTGTCCCGGAGACAAGGAGTTCCCGCGTGGAGGCTCATCGAACCCCCAGTTTCGAGCTAACGATCGTGGGTTCGGTGTTTATATAAATTGCTCCGATAGCTGGGACATCTGGGGCATCCGGCTAGGCACCACGCTTGCCGGCTAGACGTGTAATGGATCTGTGAATAACTTGGATGTCCCCATTTGATTGTTTCGAAGGGCAAGTCAATGAGTCGAGAAGTGCTTCGTCTCATCATCGCCATCTCTGCTTTGACTCCTGCCGTCTATTGCACAAGGGGCACACAATGAATGAATGCCAGGTGTCGATCATGATCACTCGGACAAGTCTGACACTCCAGACATTGTGAACTCTGACGTTGCAATCATGTGGATGATTGAAGGGTGAAATGGCTGCCGGGTTCTGCAGTGATTTTCATTTGATTTGCACGGCTTGTGATATTTTGGGTATGTGTGCAACCGGTCTCTGCCAGTGACAAGTCAAAAGTTGAGGCCGGTTTGAGGTTTGAAGGAGACCAAAATCGGCGGGGTGAGGAAATGGTGGATCACGTACGGGACAGCGCTCCTGGAGGACTGGAGCAGGGGGCTCCTCTGAGCAGGTGTGGATTGGTTGGTACCACTCCAGGAGGGTCTTGGCGGGCCCTTGGCTGTCGTAGGCACCTCCACTGCTCTACTTGCCCAAGATTCCCGGTCCTGGCCAGTTGTGTGGCAGGTTGTGCCTGCCACAATTACCTCTCTACTTTACTTGATGGAAACTCCAGGTTTCTGTCATTACTAGTGCAGTCTTCAACTCTTTTCTGCAAGACACTCGGTCATCTGTCATTGTTAGTTGCACACGTGCACTTGCTTCCATTGCTTTCCCTTTACCTTTGTGGTTGATCTGGGACCCCGTGAACAAGCCCGTGACCCCCACGAGCCGTCCAATGCGTCCGTCTCGACATCGACCATCTCGGGCTGATACTCCTCGACTAAAGAAACACTTCCACTTCCACCTCAAGGTGCGGTCGGGGGCTGCTGCAGAACAGCTCCATCTCGTCCAAGATTCCTCCTCCGCAGCCAACTCCGATTGCGAACCATCTCCCTTCCAATATCCCCCTCCGCACGCTCTCCGCACACGCGGCTGCCCGAGACGATCCGTCGACTCATTCGCACGGCAACCGAAAACAAGGCAGTTCCTCCTCTCTTGCTCCACACCCTGCTGAGCGCTTGCGATACTCGGAGGACGGCGACGGCGACGACTACAACGACTACGGCTCCTCCGAGTCCTCGTGGATCGACACCGGTGACATCGCCGAGCAGCTCGATCACGAGGATCCTTTGCGCCAGAGACTGTACGATACCCTAGAGGACGACACCCTCGCTGGCCTTGTCCATCATCGTCATCCGAAACGTCATCGTCACGGCGGCAAGCACGTCCATTATCACGAGTCTGTTTCCCGCTCCAGTGCCCACTCCTCCAGGCCGTCTGGTCAAGCTGGAGCAGTTGATAAGGAAGCAATTCGCATTCCCGACGCCGCCCCCCGAACTGTCTCGCGGGCCGAGCGCCTTATTGCTAGCATCATGGCGGGAACACGAAACCCCATTCATGGCCTTACTGGCAAACCCCTAATGTTTGATGTCTCCTGCTGCCCGGCAATGTTTTGACTTGCGTGAACTACGACTAACAGCTCGTAACAGCTACTTCACTTCCATATTTGTGTCATTAGGCGTCTTTCTTTTTGGATATGATCAAGGTGTCATGTCCGGCATCATTACGTGCGTGAACCCCCCTCTGTTGTGGCTTCCTGACACCCCGTTCTGTCACGCTCATAGACACGAAGGCCGAGTAACTGATGAGATTTGTACAGTGGTCCGTATTTCAAGGACTATTTCAATCAGCCAACAAGCGCGCAAATAGGCACTATGGTTGCGATTCTGGAAATAGGTGCCCTCATCTCCTCGCTCCTGGTGGGTAGAATTGGTGATATCATTGGCCGCCGCAAGACTATCCTCTACGGATCGTGCATCTTTTTCGTGGGCGGTGCCCTGCAAACTATGGCGACCGATATGGCCATGATGATGACTGGGCGTATTATTGCTGGCTTGGGTGTCGGCATGCTCTCCACTATCGTTCCGGTCTACCAGTCCGAGATCTCACCTCCTCATAACAGAGGAAAGCTTGCTTGTATTGAGTTCTCGGGTAACATCATTGGTTACACAACCTCTGTCTGGGTAGACTATTTTTGTGGGTTCCTTGAGGGTAACCTCTCGTGGCGTCTTCCGCTCCTCATGCAATGTATCATGGGCGCGTTGCTGGGACTGGGAAGTCTAATTATAGTGGAATCACCCAGGTAAGTACATCCTCTTTTCAGTGCTCGGCTTCCATTGATTGCTAATCAGGATGTTAGATGGCTCCTGGACAATGACCATGACGAGGAGGGCATCGTCGTGATTGCCAACCTGTACGGCGGTGGTGACATCCATAATCCTCGCGCCAGAGATGAGTTCAGAGAAATCAAGATGGGCGTGTTACTTGCGCGCCAGGAGGGCGAAAGAACATACAGTGAGATGTTCAAGCGATACAGCCGTCGCGTCTTCATCGCTATGTCGGCTCAAGCCCTGGCGCAGCTCAACGGCATCAACGTCATCTCATACTACGCACCCCTCGTGTTCGAGTCTGCAGGCTGGGTGGGCCACGACGCCGTGTTGATGACTGGCTTCAACGGCATCACTTACTTCTTGTCGACGATTCCTCCATGGTACATCGTCGACCGCTGGGGTCGTCGGCATATCCTCTTGACGGGTGCTGTGGCTATGGTGCTTTCCCTGTCCGCTATTTCGTACTTCTTGTACCTTGATACTCATTGGACACCGTCCGCAGTTGTGGTTATGGTCATGATTTACAATGCGGCATTCGGATACTCATGGGGCCCCATTCCCTGGTTGTACCCGCCGGAGATATTGCCCTTGAAGATTCGATCCAAGGGTGCTAGTCTTTCAACGGCGACGAACTGGGCTTTCAACTTCTTGGTTGGAGAGATGACGCCCATTTTACAAGAGCTGATTCACTGGAGGCTGTACTTGATTCATGCCTTCTTCTGCGCTGTTAGTTTTGTAATTGGTGAGTATCTCCTCATAGCGACCCCTCAAGGTATCCAGCTAACGGAGTTTCCAGTATATTTCCTTTATCCCGAAACTTGCGGTGTCCGGCTTGAGGACATGGACGCCCTCTTTGGTGATTCCACCAACGCATTTGGCACGCCCACCGTCAGCACTCCGTCACTTCATGCTGAGGTTGATCCTCTCGTTGCGCCGGGCTCACCCGTGCCACGGCTGGATATTCGGGGTCGGCCACTCGCCAGTGCGGCTATTCCCGGCCTGCCGATCGATCCTCCGGATGAGGTCGAGATTATACATAAGAGTTCCTCCAACCAAAACAGGGGCGGAATTGCCGGCGTATTGTCGAGGTTGGTTGGACGGAGAGGGAGAGGAAGTGCCGAGGGATCTGATAGTGGTAGCTATGCGCCACTTCGGCAAGGCGATGACTAGATCTTGGATACATTTCGACTTCAAGTGAACAGGGTCAATCCAAAGCAGTTAGACCTTGTGTTCTCTTTGGACAAGTGCGCACATAGACGTTGGATATCAGAGATCTCAAGGGAGCGGAGCGTTCCAGAGCCCGGATAGCGAAATAGATTGGAAGTGCTCGATTGTCCGAGAGCTACATTCTCCTCTCTAAACATTCAATTGCGGTTATAATTTTCCACCCTAAGGTCCTGCCTTGCTTCTATCTTGCTTTCACTTTGCATGCTCCTGGTAATGTCCACTAGCACAATATCCAAAGCACCCTCTTACCCTAATTCTCACCACAATAGCTTTATCCTACATATATTGTCCCCTCTCATCCTTCGCTTTCTAAACCAGATTCCCCTCAGGAGGAGGGACCAAGGTAGTCCGCGCAACAGGCGCACCCATACGGGTGCTAGCTGCACCGTTACTACCGCCACCAGCACCGAAAGCTCCACCTTTGGTCGTACCTGTACCTGTACCTGTACCTGTACCACCGCCACTCCCCGAACCCTTCCACCGAACAGGCTCAAGAGCCAAGTTAATCCCCTCCAACTGTTCCCTTCTTACTCGATCTCTTACTTCAAAGGTCACGTTTCGTCCATCCAACTCTGCCACCTCCCTGATAGTCGCGGTTACCGTCTCCTTGGCAGGTTTTTCGATGCCGAAAATCCCAGATTCGGCACACGCTCGGCACCCGCTCCCGCATCTGGATCCAGAGTTGGTAGAACTGGTACTGGTGACACCCGACATGTTTGTGGTGGAAGCGGCACTTGCACTTGTCGCCTGCGAGCCTCCCCACCCTGCACTTAGAACCATGGGGCTGAGGGGGCTCAGACCTGGTAACTCTCCGGTTCCGCTTCCATGTGCATCCCCAATTCCATTCTTGGTCTTTGTTTGTGGAGTGTTGGGCATTCTTTGACGCGTGGGCGTACGTGGGTTTGTCATTGTTCCGAACCCGAGTTCATGAATTTCACCAGGTCCATGAGTCCCCTGAAGCTCTTGAATCCCATGTGGTGGTCTATTCGCTCCATACAGTCCATGTTCAGGTGCCCCTGGGCGCCAAAATCCCCGTTCTCTTAACGCTGCCGCCGCCGCCTCCTTTGCCTCCCGCGCTCGCTTCCGCCGACGAGGCCCGCGGTACCACCATGTGAAGAGGAGGAGGTAGATAACTGCCAGGGCGCCGATGACCGAGCCGAGGATGGCGGATTTAGGGTTGTGTCTCTTATGATTTTGGTCTTCTTCGGAGGGGGTGTTGGCGGAGGAAATATAAGTGGGGAAATCGGAGGTTTGGGTCTCGGGAAGGGTTTGGGTTGAGGATGTTGAAGTCAAGGTGGGTGGGAGGGCAATGACACCGGAAAGAGAAGGGGATGGCAGGAGAGTGTTGGTTGAGGGGGTTTGTTGGAGTGTTGGAGGTTCTGGTGGTTGTGGCGAAGACGTGGGTATCACGGGCTTTGCTGTTGAAATTGTTGGAACGGGCGCCTGCACATGGGAAGCAGTGAGGTTGTCATCTCCGGTGGTTAAGGGAGCGACAGTCGAGACCGAATTCCGCTTACCGCTTGATGTAGTGGTGGTGGCGGTGGTGGTGGCGGCGATGGTAGCGAGTACAGAGGTTCCGAGAGCGGCCTTTTGATCCACCATGTAGTTGTGAATCGTATAATGACCGTCGCCGCAACCGACACTCCAGTATGGATCTGCCTCGTCGGTATGAGTATTCGTCAGACGGGTGAGTTGGCAATACGGATTAGATGCGGCATGGCTGGTTTGAGATATAAAAATTAGTGAACTGGATTTCTTAGGAAGGAAACTATAGAGGAGACGAGAACAGATGGACATACCATCTGGTTGTGCCAAACTGAGCACGTGCCTCGGCAATACCGCAGCCATTACTGCAATTATAAGCATCGATACACCAGGCATTCCATCCGCAGTTGGCGACGATGTCGTGGCTGTTTTTAAGGGAGGACTTTTTCGAGCAGAAGCCAAACAGCCGGTTCGGTGGAAACATGGCACACACCATATCCTCCGGAGGCGATATGGACTTGAGATGGGCATCCTCAGCGACGGCATAGCCGCAGATGTTGGTTAATATTGGAACATCAGTTCCACCAATCTGGCGTCGTAGTGCTGCCGCCGAAGTGATGACTGCCGGTGTTGCTACGCTTATGGGTACTCTGTTTGGAATCATTGCCGCCGTGCTCGTGGGCACCATTGGAGTTATCACGGCCATCGTGTTGTATTCGACGACTGATAACCCGAAGTGAGGGTGAGCAAGTCAAAAGATCTCCATGGGCACGATGTTGAAAGTGAAGAGAGTCGTGAATACGGTTAGAAGATTGCTCCCTCCTCGGCCGTTCACGTCTCAGCAGTTATGAGCGAGAAGAAGGCGTCATGCCCCGCCAGGGAGGGAGCAAAGATGGGGATCGCTTTCTTTCAGCTTGGTTCCCGTCGTCGAATCGTGCGATCAATCGTAATAGTTCGATGGCGGGTATACTAATTCCTCCCACGGGAAAGGGCAAAAGAGGGCGGGAGCTTAATGTGTCACCCAGGGGAGGGAACAAAGCGATCCATGTTGACTAAAGATATTTTTGGACAAGGCTCTTTGTGCGCCATGTTGTCGAGAACAATCATAACTTGAGCTAAGCGTCAACACGCTAGGCACCTGTTCAACTAAGTAAACCTCTCTTGCCCACTCGTATGGAAGCTTGAGTAAGTTGGTGGTTGCCCTTGGACAAAGGGCGTCCCCGGTTGGTCGGAGTCCGTGTAAGTGATAAGACGTAAGTTACGCTATCGGTCCACATCCTAATACACATGTGGTACGCTGACAATACCTACCTGCCATGATGGTCCGTGCTGAGTTTGCGTCTGTTCACTCGAGTTATCGATTGGCTTGATGATTACATAGCCGTTGGTTGCATCCCATTAGGATTTCAACACCCGTTACACCCAATATCATGTCGAACCAGGAGCTCGTCCACGCCTACCGACATCTTCTACGATGGTCGTTGAGGGCCGTGCAGTTCTCCAAGCCGGCGCGCTTTGTGGTTCGAGACACTCTCCGTGCAGCCTTCCGCGATAAGAATGGCACTTTTGAGCCCTCGAGGGTCAAGTCAACGTTGTGGTTTCTCGAGTCGGCCGCGACGTATGTCGGGGTGGAGCACAAAATCATCAAAAATCTGGTACACGTTAGGTATATCCAGAACAAAAGCACCGGGCCATGGAGGATCAGGGCGCAGACACTTTCCAAGTCCCAGCAGTAAGTCAAATAGAAGAGGCGAAGAGGTTGAAGTGCAAATGCTGAAGAGAAGGAACCCAACAGGAGAGCGCTTAAGGATCCAGTGTATGAAAAGGAGTACGAGCATTTTGACAAGACAATCGCCATGTTGAACGATACAATGAACTTGTGTTTACGGTAAACAAGTGTCCGAAGTCCGGGCAGCAGTGGTCAGGAGCGGTTCGAAGCCGGCCTCAGTGCCAGCATTTTGTATGCGATATTTGGCATGCCCCCTTCAAGCAGATCCACGGACGGGAAAAAGGAGGCGATCACAAGGGGCCAAACCGAGTCAGATGAGTCGGCTCCAATTGTCGTGATTACTCCACAAATTGGAGACACTTTTGCACACCGTCGGATCTTTCCCCAGGTTTCTCCGCATTTGATTTTTGATGATAGTGGTGTAAATGGTGGTTTGCGGTCTTGTCATTGGGGTGGCCAGCCATGTCCCACAAGTGAGGCCCAAGAGGACGCCGTCGATGCTCACAGTTATGCTCTTCCGAGTAGCAACTTCTGGGCTTCGGATGATGGTGGACTGCGGGCTGTCAACCAAAAAAGGGAAGGTCAACAACTATAACATTGGGAGAACAGATGCGCGAGGAAGGGTTGCGACACGTACACAACAGATATAAGGGTCAAAATACCCAACAACGGGATCAAGCGTTGCATGCGGGAAGCGGCTACAAATACTGTATGTAGTTCATGCTAAACTTCTCCGCCATGCCACCTTGTGGCGCGGTTTCCGTTTTGGCGGGTTTTGCCTCGGGGCTGCCGCCTGATGAGAGCCAAGACATGACTGGCCTACCTCCGTTCTACCTTTGAGATTAGATTGTGAAACCATGGACTCCTTTTCTGAAAAAGGTGTACAACAACATATCCGCTTCTGATGATTAGCAGCAACAAAGAGGAAACCCGGAAAGGGTCCCTTTTGTTTCTATAACGAACCACGATCGAACGTCGGTGGCGAGATAACATGCGCTTGTCCCTGTTTCAGGCAAGCGGTGCTGCATCAGTGACGGTATGATGTTGGCTGGGATTGAGACTTTTAAGGCCGATCCCATTTACCGACGGTTCGAGATTGCTTTGGCACTGGAGATCTCCAGAGCGAATTATTGATGGCGACTGCTGTAGTCGCACTGAAATGGGCGATTGTCGACTGCAAAGATGAACGGAAATGAGACGCCTTTTGAAGGCACGGGGATCGTGGCCCCACAAGAAGCAGGCCAGATCGGTCACATCCGTCACATTGTGGGAAAGAAAAACAAAGTTTGAAGCGGTTCAAGCAGCATATTGAGGTACCGGTAAAGTGAAACCCCGCGCCAGTTGCATTACAGAGTACATGCGAGAGCTTTACCTCAGATTTCGGGCAACAGTGGTGTTAGAGACTTGTAGAGGGGCTGTCAACAACTTCCATTCGGGGCTCCGAAGGAAGGAAAAAACGAAGGCAGCACCAGAATATCATCCGTCATTATAGTGGAGTTCCCCATCGTTATGTACATCGATATCGTGACTGCGTTTGTTTCCACTGCGACTCAGCCGAGAGAAATGGTCCAACGGCAAAACGCGCCCGAGGACTGCCGGACCGGGACCCAGCAAGCGGTCACGATGCGTGGAAGTACCCGCCGTAGCTCCATTTTCCGTAGCATCGTGACTCCGAACCCCCGGTCTTGAATTCCGTCTCTGCAACAACTCCAACTTCCCACTTCCTCCTCTTCTCTCTCCAATTGCACTCTCACACCACCAGCTATTGCACGCCTCTGTACACTCCGAGCACTTGTACACTCGTGCCGTCACAAGCCACCATCAGTTCCAACAGCAGTCCCCGACGGAACAGTGCATTGCTAGCACACCTCACCACTGCATTCATCGTCGAACCCCGCAACCAACCCGGGCAAGCTTCACACTCGCACGACAACTTTAAGTGCACTGCATTGCACCCAGAGACAGTCACGGTTCCAAGCCTACGCTACCCGGTCACCTCGAGCTTCAAGCTCTCCAGCTTCTTGTGTTCCAGTCACACAGCGTCAACTAGCTACCCTTCAACTTCCCACTCGACGGGAAGTACCTTACGATAAGCAAACCGGCATCGCCTGCCGTCTGTCGCTTGTCGCCGTCCATCGGTCAACTGTCATCCGACTAGGGAATAGGGACACCCTCGGCACTAACCAATCCCTATTCCCCCTTCCCCTCTTCGTCGATCAGGCCTCTGGCCCTTGAATCCTGCCTCAAACTTGTACATTCGCCTTCTCTCCGACTCGTTCCACCATCAGAAAAAGCTCAATAATTGCGCGGAACCACCCATTGAGAGCTACATAGGGGGAGGAACACCGGTTTCTCACCAGACCGAGAAGCACGCGCGGGGTGGGGTGTCTTTGACGGACCTTCGCCAGCCGGCATAACGGCCTTTTGCAACCGTGCCCAGGACTTTGGTCTCGATCGACGAGACCACTGTCTAGCCGGACGGGCCTCTTCCGAGTTGATCCCCGGCAAAGGGCAGTCCCCCGTTTTGCAAATCACATACGAGATTAGAGCTACGACAAGGGGCGACTTCGCGCGCCACGAGATTATCAATAAGTATGCGCGCGACAGCAACCCTTCCAGCTGCCGATAACGCCCTCCTCGACGACAGCAGTATATCGAACAATGGCCCAACCGCTGGCCACCGTCGCCTTGCACCATCATTTCCCATCATGTCTCAACAGAGCAACAACCAGGAGAACAGTACATCGCTGAAAGGGAACTCTAGAGATGGCTCGAATGGGGGTACCAGCACGAGCACGAGTAGCCTCACGAATGCCGGTCCTAGTAGCGATGGGCAGTTCTGGAACAGCACACAACGACTGGCGAAAAAATACCGCACCGAGGTTGCCGCTTCGGCCTCGAGCGTGCTGTCCACCATGTCCACGTTCCCCCTGGACAGCGTCAAGACACGGATGCAGACGTACAAATATGCCGGATTTGTCGATTGTGTCAAGCAGACATATCACACCGAGAGGCTCAGGGGCTTCTTTCGAGGTAGGTTATTGCGCCTTTCCCGGCACCTTGCCCGGGGTTAGTAGTGCCAATTTCCTGACTTCTGCCTTGAATGACTTAGGCGTCACGGCCCCGATGCTCAGCATAACTGCGGTACGGACTGTGTCGTTTTCCATCTATCAGCGCTCCAAATACGCATATAGTGACTGGGTCAAACGCAACTTTGGCTTTGATGTCATGAGCCATGTCGCCTCCCACGGGTCGTTGCCCAATTTCTGGACTGTTGCCACCTTTGGCGCCGCTGGCGCAACGGCCGGATCGTGCATAACTTTGATAGCTTGTAAGTCTGTGTGCAACAACCGAAGAACCTCTTTTGGAGGAATCCTTTAAAGCGAAAGCTAACGCCGTGCTTCCGAAAATACTATAGGCCCATTCGAGTTGACTAAGCTCAGCGCGCAAGTTTCAGTTTTAATGGCAGACAAGAAGAATTGCCTAAAACCGGGAAGCCATGCCATTGCTGCGAGTTACCAAAACAAGGGAACTCTGAAGACAATGGGAAACATTGTGAAGCACCGAGGGCTAGGCGGTCTTTACACAGGATTCGGCTTGCATTTGAGTGGGTAATTCTTTGCGATTCTATGGTTTCAGAAGATACTAACTAGGCCGGATGTAATAGCCCGAGATACCCTCGGTACCGCCATGTACTTCATTACTTACGAAAGCAGCAAACAGCTGCTTACTACTTTTGGCGGGGCTGGCACCCATAACAACCCCTTCGCAGTGTTGATCGCCGGTGGCATGTGCGGAATAGTCTCTTGGGCATTAATCTGTAAGCCGAGATCCCGGATCATCATGGTGTTAAGATGAAACTAACTGTGAAACCTTTCTCTAGACCCGGTCGACTCAGCCAAGAGCATTTATCAACGCAACTCGCTCATGTATTCAAAAGGCGAAAAGGTCGAGCCCGTCAAGATTCGTTTTTTCCAGCGCAACATGTATCGCGGTCTTGGTGTATCAATGGCCCGGTCTTGTGCTGTTAACGCCGTCTTCTTCTCGTCATTCGAATTCTTGAAGAAACGCATCAAGGCCATGGAAGACCATTAGCGTCGTCGCCACACAACCCAGAAAAAAAGAACCGGCCACCATCGGCGAATGGTATCTGTCGAGTCTTGTGCAACAGCACCCATTCTTTAGAGGTGCATAGTGCTGGATTATGCGTCACGACATCCAGTACCGTGAGGAGTTGGGAGACTACGCATCATTTGAATGGCGCAGTGTATACGGGGAGATATTTCAGGGTAACACATACAAATCATGTCTGCGTATCGGCATTGCGGAACAAAGTCGCATACAGCAGGTCCGCAAGATATGTCTTGCAAGGGATAACATCTCGGCTGATCTGCATCGAGAAGGAGGTTCGTATCATTTGGTTATATCTCAGAGGATCTACCTCAGGGAAAGGAGATGGTGCATACGACAGCGACAAGCTTGTCTGGAACGGCGTTTATTGTTTTTGGTTCAGTTGATGTAAAGTGTTTGGGCGTATCTCCCACTCAGCACACTTGGGAGAGGTGTGTGATTGATCGGCTCTGTTTATGAAAGAGACTTAGGGAAAGGACCTTGGGACATCGTAGCGAATGCAATTAGAGCGATCAAAGACCAAAAAGCAATGTCCTGGCTGTGACTGGGTATTGCGATGGTGTCTGTCTATTTGTACAATGTCGCAGAGCTACGAAGTTTGTATCGATGGTAAAGCTGCTAAAGAAACTAACCACGGGGCTAGGAAGTTTGTCCAGAGGGTCCGTGCTTGGGCTTGAACTCTAGCGCTCAGCGCAGCAAAGGTTCAATTCCGCTCATCCCCTTCACTGTACAAATAGTCAACTTCATAAAGTTTAGCAAAACCAATCATTCGTGGAGCAGATCCAATGTATTCAATGAACCCGAGCAGCAAGCTAGGCGATATCTATCGGTTTGGCTCCTTGTCTTGAACTTGTATCAGTGGCAGGACAAGTAGATGGTTGACGTTGTTGTGCGCCTACCAAACCCTAACCCTTGTCATTTTAACAATTTTTCATTCCCTTTCTTGTTAAACTTACACTTCAAGTTACTTCACCTTCCCGCCCAACCTGACTTCACCCTTTCATTTTCACAATAAATCCATCAGCCATTAGTTGCCGCCACCATAATATAGCAACGGGCACTTTCCACAAAATGCCTGGCCGTGCCAACCTACGGCATGGCATCGACCGCGATGTCTACCAGCTCGTCCTGAAACTGGAGATTGAGGAGGAAGACAGGCGAGAGGCCATCATCGAGAAGGAAGGCAAGAACAGCAAAAACCTGTCGAGCAGGCGAGGGCTCTCAGTCTCATCCGTTTACGACTCAATAAAACGGTCCAACTCGAGTCTTGCACGCCAAAAGAAGAAGCTACTGGAGGACTCCATCGAGCGGGTGCTCGACTTACGACGAGAGGAGGCCAAAAAGGACGCGGTCGAGGATTCGGACGATGCAATTGAGGCGGCGGAGGAGGCCGAAGCGGCCAAGAGAAACAAGTCGGCCGAGGCGATGGCTACAGGGTTTCTGAACAAGCAGATTGCGAAGGCGTGGGGTTTGGCCGCGCCGAAGCTGCCTGCGACGATGGCAGTGAGTGGTGAAGGTGTGGCGGTGGTAGAAAATGGCGGAGGGGAGGCGGGTGCCGCTGGTGAAGGGGGAGCGGGCTCAGTTCCACAAACCCCCGGACTCGGAGCGGTTGCTGTAGCTCCAGGATCATCTGAGAGACAGGCGAATGGAGAGCCTAGGGGAAAGAAGAGAAAGGCGGAGAAGATATCGAAGGAGAAGGAGGTCGACCGGTCGCCGCCCACGGGCATCTCCATCAAGGACATTGCCGGTGTGGATGATACCTTGGACAAGCTTCTACACGAGGTGTGGTTCCCGCTTTGTGCGGGTGAGGCCTGCGCCAAGATGGGATACCGTTACGACAATGGCGTGCTCCTCCACGGCCCTTCGGGCTGCGGCAAGACCACGCTTGCTCACGCCGTGGCTGGCAGCGTTGGCGCCGCCTTCATTCCCGTCTCTGCGCCTTCTATCGTCGGCGGCACCTCGGGCGAGTCAGAAAAAAATATCCGTGATGTCTTCGATGAAGCGATCCGTCTCGCCCCGTGCCTCATCTTTATCGACGAAATCGACGCCATTGCTGGCAAGCGTGAGAGCGCTAATAAGGGCATGGAAGGCCGCATCGTAGCGGAAATTATGAACGGCATGGACCGCATCAAGCAGCAGACACCCCTTGGCAAGAATGTCGTCGTTCTAGCCGCCACCAACCGTCCGGACTTTTTGGATCCCGCCATCCGTCGCCGCTTCAGCGCCGAGATCGACATGGGCATGCCCAACGAGCGCGCCCGCGAGCACATCCTCAAGTCCCTCTCTCGCGACCTCAACGTGGCCGACGACGTCAATTTCGCCGAGCTTGCCAAGCTAACACCCGGCTACGTTGGTTCCGATCTGCAGTACGTCGTCAAAGCCGCCGTGTCCGAATCCTTCCGTGGAAGTCTCGACGCCCTCCTCGAAAAGGCGCGCCAACTGCGCGCTGCCGCTGCAGAAGCCGCCACTGCCGCTATCACCTCCGACTCCCCCGAGGGCCACGAAGAGCAACAAAAACAGATTCAAAAGGAACTCGACGACACCCTCACCGGCATCTCCCAAAAACAGCGCGACTGGCTCCTCCTCGAGGACCACCGCCAAGCCTCATGGTCCGACAGCTGCATCACCATGGCCCAATTCCGCCTCGCCGTCTCCCGCGTGCAGCCGGCCTCCAAGCGTGAAGGCTTCAGCACGATTCCTGACACCACGTGGGCGCATGTGGGCGCTCTGGACGAAGTCCGCAAGAAGCTCGAGATGAGCATCATCGGCCCCATCAAGCGGCCCGAACTTTTCACCAAGGTGGGCATCAAACCGGCCGCCGGCATTTTGCTCTGGGGTCCTCCAGGCTGCGGTAAGACGCTGGTCGCCAAGGCCGTAGCCAACGAGTCCAAAGCCAACTTCATCTCCATCAAGGGTCCCGAGTTGCTGAATAAGTATGTGGGCGAATCCGAGAGAGCAGTCCGCCAGCTTTTCGCGCGCGCCAAGTCTTCGGCCCCCTGCATCTTGTTCTTTGACGAGATGGACGCCCTGGTGCCCAAGCGCGACGACTCGCTCTCCGACGCCAGCGCCCGCGTCGTCAACACCCTGCTCACGGAGCTTGACGGTGTTGGCGACCGCAGCGGTATTTACGTCATTGGCGCTACGAACAGGCCAGACATCATTGACGAGGCGATCAGAAGACCGGGCAGATTGGGAACGAGCATCTACGTCGGCTTACCCAGCGCCGAGGATCGGGTGGACATTCTCCGGACACTTTACAGGAACTCGATTGCGAGGGCCAAGGCTTCCCAGGCGGCTGCTGCTCCTCCTCCTCGTCCTACGCCTACTACGACACCCGCTGTGGAGGGAGACGTAATGGATATCGATGGCGGCTCTGGCGCTGTCCTGCCAGGCCAACAAACGCCCTCGGCCACCGCGGCCGCTATGGACGAGACCATGCAGCAGGCAGAGAAGCAGCTGGAGCGTGTTGCGCTTGATTTGCGCTGCACCGGCTTCTCGGGTGCCGATCTGGGCAACTTGATGCAGGCGGCTGCCCAGGCTTGTTTGGAGAGGGCGTACCTGAGCCAGATGTACCAGTCTAATAAGGAGAGTGGTACGCCAACGGAGGAGGAGAAGGTGACGGATATGGTGGCTAACCCGGTCATCACTCCGGAGGACTGGGAGAAGGCGCTGAACGAGGTGAAGCCTAGTGTGAAAGATCCGGAAAAATATGTCCATATTGATTAGCAGATGAGAAGGGATTGCAATATGGCGTTCTAGGGTTTATAAAAATGGTCTTGATGCTTTGATTATACCTATAGATTTATTTGGGTATCGGAAACATGAAAATTGCCGATTATGGTAGGCATGTTGCGAGATGAAGCCGTCAAATTCCCCAAGTCCCACAAGTCATGGAACGGTTGGGTAGATGTAAATTATCGCGTGAGCGGAGATGCTTTATTGTACTTTGAATACAGTTAGATATGATAATCCTCCATTCTTTATAACATCATCATCAAATCTGAAAGATGCCTGCCTTGCTTTTAAACGCTCAAAAAAGCTGACCAGTGATTACTCTGTCGCCTTCAATCTCGCGTGACCGTCAAGCACCAAACCATACATACCCGGCAGGAACGGGATCAAGAAAGGGGGTGTAAGGGGGAATGGGGTATTTCTTCGTAACTTCATACAGAGGAGGTTTTGAGATATCGTGGTCGTCGAAAAACAACCAAGAATCGCCGAGCACAAGTCGTCTAGTCTATGGTACAACAACGAAGAGGGATGTGCCAAGCCCGTCTAATGCAAAAAAAAAAAAATCTCCCTTTTTATTAATACAGTCCCATAACTCCTCAAGAACAACGCCCATCATCAAATAGATTGCATTTAAGCAGTAGCCTCCTTCATGAAGCTGTTGGAGTGAGGTCGAGTTAGCTTTGCATATTTTTTGAGTGACATATATAGGGGAGCAGCGCATGACGTACGTGATGATGTCGTTCCTGTCCTTGTCCTTCTTGAGACCACCGAAGGCCATCTTGGTACCAGGGATGTACTTCTTGGGGTTCTCGAGGTACTCGAAGAGAGTGTTCTCGTCCCAGGTGATGCCCTTCTGCTTGTTGGCATCGGTGTAGGCGTAGCCGTCGACGGAGCCGGTCTTGCGGCCGAAGAGGCCGTGGAGAGCGGGGCCGATCTTGTTGCCGCCGCCCTCCTCAAGGGTGTGGCACTGAGCGCAACGGGTCTTGAAGAGGTTGGCACCCTTCTTGGAATCACCTGTGTGCAAGTTTTAGGTTAGAACGGCTGTTTATCGGCAAGATAGCAAAGCGCGGCTCTGATCATTCTGATATTGTCTCGGTAGTCTCGGCCTCGACTGTCGTGGTCGTGGTGTCCAGGAGCAAGACCTTGATGGCTGGAGATCTGGTAGATGGGGGTGAGGGAAGTATGTCGTAGGGCAAGACATGCTCCGTGGCGTCAAGCCGACGTGGCCCATCTCCCATGACGGTGCGATTTCGCTCCGTCAAGTGATCGTGTTTACGAAACAAGGAGAAAATGCCGCGCAACTATCGCAATGTCGGGATCGCAAACCGAGGCCATGCTCGAGGTGTCCTGTCCATGGAGATGCTGAAGAAGCCGTGACCGAGGGGTGGTAGCCTCTTCAACTCATGTGGACATTGCGAACACCCAATGGCTCAACCAGCAAAGCTAAGACCGGCGGACGGGCGGATGACGTTGACGAAGCCGGACCGCCGAGACAACAATAAAAGAAAGAGAGCGCGTGCGCATCATGGCGTGGGTGAGGAGATGAGAGTGGGATACATACCGGCAGAGAAGCCCATTTTGACTGATTGGTTTATGAGGAAGCGTTAAAACCGCAAAGGTGTATAGGGAATACTGGAAGTTGAGATGACTGAGAACAGGAAAGGGGAAAGGAAGAGGAAGAAAAGGCTCCGGTGAGGCGTAAGAAATAGTAGGAACAAAAAAGTTGCAAACCAAGAGTGGAAAGTGACGGGATCCCGGCCACACGGCGCCAGTCAATACCTGGGTACCGTTTTGCAGCGTGCAATCCATGCAAGCCAGCCTCCCCCCGGTGTCCGCGCTCGCTGTCTCCAGAAAGTTGGCTGGCTGAACACCGCAAACACGCTGAGGATCTTGATCCAACTTTTTTTTAGTCCTCAATGCGCTCACAGCTGGCAACCACTCGCTGGCAACGCCCTTCAGCCAATCCCATGTGGCATTCGCAATCTCGAGCACCTTCGTTGACGATGACCTTGGCCAAGACGTGGACCGGAGCCACAGCCTGAGGCTAGAGAAGGCGGGTCTCCTACAGCACATTGGCCAATGACGTGTCCAATGTTAGTCAGAGGCGCTCTTCAACGGCCATGGCTGCCGGGTCGGGGACGGGCAAAGTCGGAAATGGCCCCACAGGAGCCACAATGATTTGCGGACAGACGAATTGTGCCTGAAAGAACTGCGATTACGATCCAAACCACAATACCTCTACGTACACTACAATACAACCGACGGCCCGCACTAGCCCCATCAGGTAGAGGAATGTCATCGCGAAGGCCATCCACCCAATCTCATCATCAATTTTTTTTTTTGATGCGGCATGCTAGCGGCAATTTCTTGTGTCATGTTGCCCGTGGTCATCCGATTGACCGATTGAGGCCGCAAGAAGAACCACGTCCGACTTCTGGGCACCCTTCCGACCCCGACTGCCCGATCCACAACACCCGGCCATCCACGTCGCTGCCGGGGAATCCCACCTTTGCGATTCGGCATCCCGACCCCACATCCATACAGCAGCGACCTGATGCGGCACGGCCTGTCGTCCAAAACACACGCGCATCAGTACACCACTAGCAAAATTCCAAACCCAAAATCTTGACTGGAGTAGCTGTACTGCTGTTGTAGCCACGCAGCTGGGCGCACATAGGGACCAGAAGGGGAAGAACAATAATACAGACCATGTCATCAGCAACCTCCACCATGATCCCCCGCTTTCTCCTCCCACAGTACGGGCGCATCTGGCAACGGCCCACCCAAAAGCTTATCCAGCGCCGTCTCGCATCCACAAAGTCAACAGCGGAAGCCAACTCAACGCCATCCGGCCAGCGCGTCCTCGCAAAACCCGAGCGCTTCAACCCTCCTTCACACGGCTCCCGACTCCCCAACAAGAAAAACGTCCCGCGGCACTATGGCGGCGACCTCAGCTTCCAGGAGAAGCAGGCTCAGGCGCAAAAGGAATACCCGGGCCTGATGCCCGGCGAGGGAACCTTCGGATGGTGGTTCTGGAATAACAAGTGGTTTCACATGTGTTTGACCCTGGTATGTACATATTCATCCCATCTAGCTCAAACCCTGCTTTTTCTTTCCCTTTCACGATGGCCCAGCTCTCCAAGCTCTCAGAATCAAAACTTACATTGGAAAACAAAAAGGGGTCCCTCTTCGCCATAGCCATCTACACCGCAACCGAGAACTTCAAGCGCACCTCTCCCTTCGCCGACATGCTCCCTGCCCGCGGTGACTTTTTCAGCCACCCTATCGACTCCTTCAGTCACCTGGGCCACGTCATCCGGCTGCACGAGGCGCACAAGTCCGCCGAGATCTCGGCCAGGAGACAGCGGGCCATTGACGATGTAGCCAAGCGGACCATGTATAGGAAGGCGCACGGCCTGCCCGAGGAGCAGGGCATTGCGGGTTTCATCAAGCTGAAGGAACCGGAGCGGATTGCTAGCGTGTCGAGAGGGGTGTTGGAACCGGAGGCTACTGCGTCTGCCGCTAAGGCAGAGCCGCAGCAGCAGGAGAAGCAGTAATGGGCCGTTGGTAACTTGAGGCGGAAGTGAAGGTGGTGTAAGGAACTTGCGGCTTGACATGGAAATGAGGGAATGGGGCGTGGGCAATCATAGCGTGGTATTAGCGCTGTGATTCCGATTACGCTGCCTCGCGGCTGTCTCCGGAAGAAGGTGGAATGGAAAGAGGTATAGTCTACGGAAGAGGAGATGCTTGTGATGACTATGTGTACGATTAAGTGTTATTAATGACTTAACGGGCAGCGGGCACAGAAAAGCATGTTTAGCGTTAGATTTTGGAATAGGGGTATCTTGTTTTGAGTTATCATCAAGCCTCCATCTATCTTGCTCCCCGAGCACGCCACGTACCACAGCTCTTGAGTGTGACTGGCCAAGGCTCCCGCAATTTATACGATACACGAGTGGATATGCCTCTTTCATGTACACGCCCAAGCTCTGAGCCTCTTCCGATATTCCGAACACCACAGACCCATGTGCCTGAACGGTAACCGGACAAGAAGTAGCGAAGCGTGCTTTGCGACCCTGGCCGATATACCCTGGCGTTCCTCGGCAACCAGATAGTAGTGCCACTAGCTTAGTTTCAACCTTCAGTTCAAATCAACCCCATCCAGCGCATCCAACACCTCATCGGCCACGCCTCCCTTCTCCAACACCTTCTGCACCATCGTAGCCATTACCAACGTCTTGGCGCCGCCTCTCGGTGCCTTCCACACACCCTCGACGGCCTCAGACTCGGCTGTCCTCGCCTGTTCCTGCTGCTGCTTCTTCTTCTCGGTATCCTTCGCGCCCGCATTCGCTCCATAAGCGCTATTGCTTGCGTTGGGAATACCAGGAGGGGTCAATCGCGAAGGGGGATCGATTGTTCGCACCGATAGAAGGCGGAGGTTGTGTCCTTTTGTCTCTTCAGTGTCGATGTCCATTGCTGTGGGTTTGCTGCTGGTCGTAGAAGTGGTGGTGGTGGTGGTGGAGGAGGAAGATTCGCCAACGGAAACGGCCAGCGCAACGTCGGCGACGGCTAGCTCCTCCTTGGAAGGGTCGAAGATGATGTTGTTACCAACGGCCATGACGAGGAGGGTGACGGGTGGCCTGGCAGCGGGGGCTGGGGCCGTCGCTTTGGAACCCTTCTCTGAAGGTCTGGGGTAGAGGTAGGGAGCGGCAGCCCAGTCGTCGTCGAAGAGGGGATCTTCGTCGCCTTCGGACTTTAGGCGTGGGAGACGGGCCGCGAGGAGGGCGAGATGTGTGGTTAGGGAAAGGAGGGGGAGGGGATATGAAAGCGGCGGGGAGATCAGAAGAATCTGTCGTCAGAACTTGATGTTAGTGGCTGTTGGTTGCGGAACGCAGACAGAGAACATGAAGACATACGTCAAGGTAGAGCTTCCAGTGAAACCTTTGGTTGATCCACAGCCTCTTCGTAAACTCGCCATCCGCCAACAGCGCTTCGCTAAGCATGGCGGAGAGGAAAACAGTCCCCGCGTCGTCGTCTCTGTACCCGGGAATTTCCACCGTCATCTCTACCCAGTCGTTGTCACCCTTCACCACGTCGTTCTGGTTGTCGTCCAAGTCATCATCGTCCTCAGCACTTTCATCTAGCGAGGGGAAATCGTGTCTTGTCCTCGTCCTCTCGACTTCCGCCTTAACGCCAACAATGGCCTCTGTACCGTCGGCGAAGCAGATACGTGCGCTGCCATTGGTGCCAGGGAGAATGCCTGTCTCAGCGACGAGGGGGCGGAACTGTGTAGGAGAACGGCCGTCCGGGCGGATAGGAGGCGTGAGGCTGAGTGACGCGTGGAGGTAGGCGAGTTCCGCCGGCGAAAGCAGGACGTGCTGTGAGGACGCCATGCTTATTTCGAGATTCGTAAATTCTGGGTTTCTTGCTTTTGTTTACTCTGCCCCTTCTATGCGACGCAGGTCCCTTGCACGTAGTGCTTTGAAATGTATATTTGCGATTGGTTAAATGGCGATGGAAGGTCGCAACACAGCGAATGACTGAATCGGTATATCGCCTTTTGGAAATCGAGCTGGAGGAGGTTGACAAGTTCCGCCGTCAGGGAAAATGCAATGATGTTTGGATCTGAATTTTTGGAGGGGCCGCTCAGCCTGACGCCTGCACAGTTGCTTGCATGTACCCAGTACCCCCAAAATGCAGGTGGGGTGCACTGAGGCTGAAAAGAGGCAGCTTCTGAAGCTCCCAAAGTAACGGCCGGCAGCCAGAAACACCCCGGGGTGCGTTAAGTAAACGCTTCGTTCAGGGGTTTGTTTACTTTACAATCCACAAGTTGCCATAACAGGTGGTGAGCACCAGTCAACACCTACCGTCAGTTCTCTTAATAAAGAGCAATTGTCTTGTTTTCAGAGGGTATTCTGGCTTCTCTTCACTTCATTCAGTTGTTTTTCAGCATCCAACAACGATTTGGCATTCTCGTTGCGAAGAAGCTCATCTCCATCATGTCTTTGGAAAAGACGCGGATTAGACCTGGGTGCCAGTTGTTTGAGTGTAAATCTCATGTATTCTTCGTCCTCACTGACACGTTAAAGTAAAGAGTTTCTTGCCCGTCGTTCTCTTGTAGTGTATCTTCATCGGTGATGAATTTCGCGTAGGTCCTCTCTGTAAGATATCCAGTACTAACAGGTGTAAGATACCCGTATCGACTGTAATCCTGTAACAGCAGCTGACAGCCAAGACACCGGCCGTCGGGTCTACTAATGACAGCTTGGTCAATGGTAGGTTACTTGCCCCACCATTAACGCTCATGCCAGGACATTTCATCACAGCTCTCACTGTCGCGCATCAACACCGGCTTTTGAAATCAACATATTGATAACTCTTGTCACCGAGTTGCACGTAGCTCAGAGAGCCCAATCTTAACTCACGCCTTATTTATCCGATCGGACCTGCAATAATCTCAGCTCATCTTCAGTTCCAGCATCCACGGCCTACCCCCCTGAACCTGCCCCGATTAGACGATAACTTCAAACCTCACCCCTCTCTTTCTCAAGTCGCAATGGCGTGGGATTCCAAGTCAACAACAGGCCGGCGACGAGGCAACAGCGTTGCCTCCAATGCCTCACGCGGCCTTCGCCAAGGACCCAGACCGCCCACCCAGCCCAAGTCCGCTCACGTCGCCGATCCTTTTCTCCACGACTTCCTCGGTCCATCCTTCGACGCCGCAGCCTACCTCAACGCCAAACTGCCGCCTCTCCAGACTTCTGCGGGGTCTTCTTCTTCTTCTTCTTCTTCATCGTTATTAGCTTCGCGATCTGCTGTTAACCAAGGCACCACAACCGCCGCAGCAGCCGTGCCACTATCCGAAGTCTCGCTCCAGGCCCAATCTGTGCTCTCACAGCTTAACGCGCACACCACCAGACTCACCAACACTCTCACCCAACTCACCGATGACATCCTCCGGAGTGGCAGCAGGCTAGCCTACGAGGTAGAGCTCCTGCGCGGCGAGACGCTTAGCTTGGCTGAGACTCTCACGGAGGGGTTGCAAGAGGACGTAGCCAAGTTCGTGCCTAGCGGAATCTCCATCCCGGAAGCACCCGCACCCACACCTGCACCGGCAACCACTCCCGGTGGTAGCACAGAGGGGGGAGCTCATCAACGACGTCTATCAGTTGCCGTAGCGTCATCACAACAACAACAACAACAACAACATCAACAACCACCACAGCCGGAAACACCTGCAGAAGTGTCGGCAGCAACAGCCGAAGAGGAAGAACCCCAAGAACCCCCACACATAACCCAGCTCCGTACCTTGACGCTCGTTCGCTCCCGACTCGACTCGGTAATCCAAACGTTCGGTTCCGCCATCGACTTCGTCTTCCCGCCCTCGGAAATTTCAGCCGTCTCTTCTTTCCTATCCGTATCCGCGCCCGCACCTCCTGACTCTTTTGTCTCTGGCTTCGGCGGCGACCCCGACTCGGTGGCCAGTACCGAAGAAAAGGGGCAAAAGGTGTTGCGCGCGCTTCGGGACGAGATTTCTTCCCTTTTAGAGAGTAATCAGGATAAGAACAACGACGATAATGATGCCATCAAGGGGATCGAGGAAGCCGCGAAGCGGGTAGGTGAGTTGAAGGAGCTAGTGAAAGTATGGAAGGGCACGGCGGAGGAGCGGGGGAGGTTGAAGTTTGTGGAGGGGTTGGCGAGAATGGTGGAGGAGAGGCATGCAGCTCTGGTGAAGGATTTGGAGAGCGGTGGTGCTGCGAGGAAAGGGGGGGATGCGGTTGGTGGGAGGACGGATGCTGAGGCGGCTTTGAGGAGGGTTGTTGGAGGAGAGGCGGAGCAGGCGTTATCGCCAACATCGTCACAGATACAGACGGACAGTAAAGGGTTGAGTGGGTATGGGCTGATTAGTCAGTTGAATAAGTTCAGGAATGGGCTGTAATAAGCCCCTTGGGATGCCAAGGTTGAGGCGACAGTCAAGCAGGTCGCAGAACAGCACTTTGTGTATATATCGTGTAGCTCTGTGTCATGAGTATTGTCATGGTAGAGGACTTCTTAATATCAAATACCGGGCACGAACCCCAGCCGAAGCCATGCTAAACCTCCAATGTCCCCATACCTGCCCTCGCGGGATTTCTGAAGTTCTTGAACTAGGTCAGTAATGTAATGGGACCTCACGTAGTCGGATGGATGTCGCGTGTATGATCAGCCGTGTGCCTGTGTGACAAATAACTCGGAATCATATACCTCGATGATCTTTGGTCCAAGGGATGAATGATGAGATTCATTCTTTGTGAACCTGTGTTCTAGAATGTGATACTGGTCTGATCATGCCTACCAAGCCTTGAATACTTTTTCGGGGTCGGCGAAACTAGAGAAGGAACAAGGGCACTGTATGCGATCATTATGACAGTTAGCCTACCGGGTCTTCGGATGACTGTTGATAAGAGAAGATGAGTTATTGTACGGGAGCGTAAGCGTTAGCTCTTCGTGTTCCATCATCTCTTGTGAAGTCTGTATAGCGAGGGCGGAGCGGATATAATGGGGTTAGGATATTATATCCGTTGACGTGATGTTCGCAAGTCTTGCACTATCCTGTCTTGATGTTCTGCTGTTTCCTTGCGTGTGTACCTATAGGATAAAGTCATCAGATCACCACCCACCTACGCCGCTATAGTCTACCGAACCTGAGTAGAGCCACCCAATGTTTCCCTTCTCTCTTGCTCATTCTTACATAAGAGAACCAAATGCGACTCTATAGGCCTCCCGTAAACGCCCAAACATGAATGCAGATAAAATACGAAGGAAAAGGGGAGAGATTTTGAATCTCAAGACAAAGAAACATTGGTTGCGTCCCAAACAGGCCAGTTTCGGTCAAAACCATATTATCCGTTGCTTCGAACGATGTATCTCAGAATTCGCGCGAAGCTGATGAAAGCATCGATCTTCTGCGACCTTAGGCAGGAACGACTGCCGAAGCAGCTACAGTTCCAACCAGGCTAACCTGCGCGCACCGTCTCGGGGAGGTAAGCAGAGATAGACCATGGGGAAGAACAAGACACAAGATTGCGCTGGCTGAGAACTGGGGACTTAAAACGCACTCCAAGCTGTATCCAAATGGTCGCCATATTGGGATGGATTTTGGACTCTCGCTACTACCAGAGATATTGTGTTGCTTTGCTCTTTAGAGTCCCATATGGTAGGAAGATCAAGACGCAGCAAGTCGGAACGTCAGCAATAAGCCTCAGTACCCCTTCGCGGAACTGTCTCCATGCACACACTGCTCCCGAGACAGCGGAGAGCGACACTATCGCCCCCAAGTATGGCGGTACCAAGGCTACCTCTTGATCGTCGACAAATCTAGAGCTGCTTGAAGTTCCGGCCGTTCTTTCAACAACTCGGTGGCTTCAGCGTATGTGTACCACTTGCGCTCACGTTTGTCCTTCTCGGGCCACTCAGGCTCCTCGCTGGTGACGGTGGCCTCGAAGAATCGGTAGAGCGAGCGCTCCTTCTCCTTGAGAGGATTTTTCTTGGGAGGGCGGGTATCCTGAATATCACCCAAGTCATAGTTGATCTGAACCACGATACCGGCCTCCTCCCAGGCTTCACGGGCAGCAGCCTCGTGACATTCCTCGTCAAGTTCCCATCCGCCCTTGGGCAACACCCAACCTTTTCGACGTGTGGACTGGATCAACATGACGTAGTACTTGTCCGCACTCAAAGGGACAACGCCGGCAACCAGTCGTTCGCCTTTCGTATTGTATCCTACAAAGGGGAGGGTCAGTTGGACCGACCACAAGCGGCGGAAGCACAGCTCCTGCCTCCTGCCATCTGGATGCCAAGACCGCATTTGGCAAGGAGTGGATGCTCGTGTATTTGTCAAGACTAGAGTGGGCATCTAGAACTCACGTTGCTTGGTACGCCCAGTCCGGGATTCCATTGACCGATTACCACTACTAGTATTGCTAGCCGCCATCTTGCAGAGCTCCCAACAGGTCGGTAGAGCGACCAATTCCTTGCCAAATCTTTGTGGGTAGGTTGAATGGGGACGTGTACTACGAGGCGCGCGTGAAGGGTTTTTTTTCGGAATGTCGACAAAGAAACGGCGCTCGGTACGTTGAAATATCCGGATCGTCGTTGAAGAGAGTAGTGTCCCGGAGCTTTTAGCGCGCGGTGAGCGGCATGATCGGAAAGATAGGACGGGTAGAAGCTCGGAGGATTACTGGAATGACGAAGGGCCACCGGGATGCGCCGAGAAGGTGCGAATCGATGGGGGGTCTAAAAAGCTGGTCGTGCGGAAAAGAGTGCGTCGAGTGCAGGACACACTTGGAGAAGTGGAAGGCAGACCCGAGATGGGCAATCGGAGAGCACTCGGAGATGGTGCGTCTTTCGCAAGAGAAGATGAGGACAACAAAAAAAGAAAGAAAAAAAAATAAAAATAAAAATACGACGGTGTATCTCGACAGGCGGCGGCAGGCGGGATGGTCTGACAAGTGGTGGCGGTCGTGACGGAAACGGAGGGAGGAACCGTCGACTTTTTAGTGTAGCGAAGTGTACAGTGGTATTGAGGTAGACTTTGTCCAAACACCACGCGACAGCGCAGTGGACGCTTGGTGGTCGAAAACCGATGGAACGGAACTTGGATTTCTCGATGCACTGGAGACCAGCAGAACCAGATGCGAGGTTGAGGATCTGTCAAGGATCTACCAAGACGTGGAACCTTGAGGGGCGACGTCGGAGAAACGAAGGTGGGTGGTGCTTCGCTCAAGGCGGCCAGACGAGGAGGGGGAGGGGGGTTCGCTTGGAAGCAGACTTTTTTTTGGAGGTTCTTTAACTCAATGGCACTTTTGGCGGCCGGCAACCTGAACCGGATACCGTTTTAGCGGCCTGCAGTGAGAGTCCGGTTCTGACCGCTCGCTACAGTAAGGAAGGCGCCTAGTAGGAGGAGGGGAGGGGGGGAATGGAGGCGGAACACACACGCGACCTGTTCTCGTTTTAGGCCATCCACCTGGCACATGTAGCACCTTAACGCCCGAGTTCCTTCCATCCTTGTGCAATGCGCGATGAAATGTTGTGAATTCCCATGCTGCTACCAACTAGAAATACCTCGCTATGAAAGGATGAGGTGGAAGCCAACTTGGATGAATGCTCTTGGGTCACGAAGTGTGAGTAAACGAAAGCCGGGGCGTCTATGTTAACTCGCTCTTACTCAGAGCCTGAACCTGAAGTGATGTGCAGTGTGACTGCAGTGCGAGCAAGTGGAAACGACCTGAGGAGGAGCCAAGTTCCCGTAGTGTGGAGTAGCTAGAGGTACATGAGACGGGAAATACACATAGGAACGAGACAAAAGCTGTAAAGACATCATAGTAATGAAAACAATCACGGTATGGAACACGACAAGAGCACCCCTCCGCATCTGGGCTTTGCGAGATGGGTGGGTTGGTAGCTCGGGTTCAAGGATAGAAAGCTAGCGCGGCACAATACTTTTCACGATGGCACGGAAGCCATGTGCAAGATGGTGGTCCATCCGAGGAGCAGAGATATCCAATGCTCTGAATCCGAGATGCATATACAAGTTTGAGTGATGGTGTGCGACCTGACCTGAAGTGTGCTCAGTAGTGTAGGTTTAAGGTAGAAATGCAATCCAGTCAATGCAATGTGGTAGAAACTCGCCGCTTCATCTGAGGGACATTTAGACATGTATGAACCCATTTCCCTACAGGTACACAGAGCCAGGGTGAGTATTGCATGATACAAGTGCAAAGAGATGAGGAGGAACAACTGAACACAACAAACGCAACAGGAATTGAGAGGTAAGTAGGTACGTGCCTCTCTGGGGGAGAATTTAGCATTTAGACTCAGCTAGAACCCAAATCAACAGCTTGTGAATGGCCATATTCGTCACGGTTTGAGCTCGGGCCCATGCCACGTCCGGATCGACATCGACGCAGGCATGGCGGAAGCTTTAATCCATCCTCAATCGCCCATTCCGGGCGGCAAACCAGGCCATTCATTGGTTCTCCTTCGTTGGTACTTGGTATAAGGTCGATATGGGCAGATCAGAGCGCGTCACTAACAACCTCGAGGCCCTAACTTGGGGAAAACGTGGGGTAGAAGTCGTGGCATCGGACTCGTAGGACAGAGGCTGCCCGACTTGTAGCAGCTGCAAATCAGTGGCAGCGAGGCAGCTACGAGCACCCTCAACTGACCTAACCCGGGAACTTCAAAATGGTCTGTCAAGTTCCTGGAAATCACAAGGACCCGAAGCCATGCCCTATCTATTAGGGGTATATCGCTGCTCGTGGGTACCGATGATGGAGATTGGTCGTGTGGTCGTATTCCGGAAGGACACTACCTCTAGGGGTACTACGGCATTACTACTTCTACAGCGTGACTGTCTATGCCTACCTACACGAAGTGGTTGCAGATGTCTATGGTACAGTATCACTGTCCATGACTCCGTTGCATATCGTTGTCTTTACCAAGTCAAGTATACAGCATCTTTCGGAACAAGATTCAGTTGTATTTGCAAGTCACCAGTTGGGAAGGTCCCCGCCATGGCTCTATGGCAGGAATGACCTATGGCGTCGTTGGTCCCGCTGGCAAGCTAGGTAGGACGGGATGTATGCTTAATGTGGGGGTTGCGAACCATTGCCCCTCTCGGTCCGCTTTCTGATCAAAGACAACTAGGTGCCTGCCTGAAGGCGCAAGCTCTTCGCCAACACAACAACCCCCCAGCGACATCAACGGCTTTTGTTCTGACTCATGTCTACTAATAATTTGGATCAGCCCGCGCAAACGTCCTGTCCCAAGTCCCTCGAATTTGTTTCCTATACATTATTACGTGCCTAGCCGGCCTGCACAATCAGACCCAACTCCGCATTATTTTCCCGGCGGCTCAGAACAGCCAGCAACCTCCTGCTGGGATATAGCCTCGATTCAACAAAAAATTGAGGCCACATCCATCCACAAACGATACCGAACATCCGAGTTCCTGCCTTAGTTTCCTTTCATCTGACGAATCTCATAGAAGCTCCTCGTTGTACACCAAGCAGACATCACGCCCGGAGGCTGTACCCCGTTCGGAGGTGCTCGTTGCTTGTTCCACCGACAGACTGGATATCGTAACAGCGAGACCCGTTGCAACATCCCACACCACGCCCAAAGGGATCAAGGTTCACGGCACACTTCAGTTCTCTTTTGTGTGAGCTCCAAGACAATCTCCGAGGGAAGACCACCTGAGCTTCTGTCCTTCCCGCTTAGACGACTATGTACAACACAAACAGCATGCAGACCCCTGACGACGCTGAGGCGCCATTGTCTTTTATATTCCCAATTGGTAAGCAGGTGTAGTTTCCTTGCTTCTCACCCAACCATTCTGGCCATGTGCGAGATTCACACAATCTCGTTGGCCGCTCCCGTTGTTCAACGCCGAAAGGGAGTCACACTCGTTTAAGTTCCTACAGAACTGTCCATAACATCCAGTGCCAAGCGGCTTTTTGATGCTCCTGAAGGAACATGAAATGATTTTGTCTTGCCAAAAAGAGGAAGAAGAAACAAAGAGAAAAAAAAAAAAGACCGATGGCCGTCCTCTGCCTTCCAGTCAACAGTTTGGCGGAAGGTGGATGCGCCCTCGTACTCTTCGCATGATGATGACAGCTCAAGGAAACCACTCATTTTATATGCTATGCGTTGTACTTCTGTCCTTGAGTCAGTTGTATGTGCCCTCAAGTACGGTTGAGCTACCCGAAAAACAGGTGTTATTTGGTTCCGGGGTTGTAGCACCGTCCATGCATTTAGACCCGAGTGTTTGTCACGAAGCAGGTCAACATCGATCAGAGATGTTTTGCCAATTGAGATCCGAAGAGGTCATCTTGCTAACCGAGAGTGCATATTGTAGGGTATAGCAGCGCATCTGATTGCGGTTATTGTCGAGGGACTTCACGTGCAGGTAAACGAAAACGTAAATGGAGTTTCCGTTTCGGCCCTATTACGCCCGCTTCGCTCCCATTTTCCCTACCGAGTCTCTTTTCCCCTGGTGTCGTACATGTCACACAATTGGCCTCATAAGTCTGGGCTCCTCAGCTTGTGTGCCCAAGGCCAAGAAACAGGTGCCTAATGAGACACGGTTGGATGTAAGGCCTACGTCTAACTTGCTTCAACACAGGTTACTCTTACTATGCTACGAGCAAGTCCTTATCAACGCACCTATATCAAAAGCTAGTTGATCGGTATTGGAGACGGTCCGGGACTCTTCTCTACAGGCCGAACCCGAGAAACTCTTGTTGTCCTCACTATACCCTTCGCCTGGACTCAACAGAGTTCAAACCTACCAAAGATCAACGGCAAACTGTCAACCGATTCAACAACTACGTTATCGGTCCGGACTATACACATGCTGCTGCCCGCGTTCATCCTCGCACGCGCCAAGAAGCACGGAAACGGCACAACGAGTTCGACTTGATCGACAGAATCCATGAACCCGAGGCACAATTTCTAAAGACGCCTCCAGAGCCAGCTCACAAGTTCACTGTCACATTGGAGCCAGACGAGTTTACGGAGGAAAAGTATCTCATCTTTGAGAACTATCAGAGACTTGTTCATAAGGAGGGCCCAGATAAGATTTCGCGCCACGGATTCAAGAGATTTCTGTGCAATTCACCTCTTAAGCGTGAAACCATCTACACTTCGGACGGCGTCCAGCGGCAGGTGGGCTCTTTTCACCAGTGTTACTGGCTGGACGGGAAACTTGTTGCAATAGGGGTGTTAGACCTGCTTCCCCACGCCGTCAGCTCAGTGTATTTTCTCTACCATGAGTCATTTCACTCACACAACCCAGGCAAGCTCAGTGCCATGCGAGAGATTGCCTTGGCTCGAGAGGGTGGCTATCGTTGGTGGTATCCGGGATTCTATATCCATAGCTGCCCCAAAATGAAGTACAAGATGGACTTCAAGCCGCAGTCCGTCCTTGATCCTGAGACACTCACCTGGGATTTGATGGACAAGGAGGCGTTGGCGGTTTTTGACGCGAAGCACTACGTCAGCCTATCCAGGGAGCGGCAACGGAAGGAGTCTGGAGATCCCCCCCAAATTTTCAAAAACCATTTCATTCGGCCAGAGAGTGACGGCGAAGGTGACGAGGAGGAAGGGGACTTTATGTTGGGCAGCAGCATGCCAGGCATCCCTTCATTGGAAGAGATGAAGCAGGTGGACATGGACAACTTGGTCCTTGTTTCAGATGCTACCCCCGGGTATTTTTTGGCTTCCGACTTGGTCAGTTGGGAACAACAAGATATCGAGTTGGACCGCAAGGATATCAAATCAACGATCGCAGAGCTGGTGGCAGCGATGGGAACGGACGTGATGGGCGAAATATGTGTGGATTTTCGGAGGAGGACTCGTGTGCTATAAGCATACAGCGAGAAGACCGACAGGAGCGATAAAGGGAATTGTATAGCGATGCACAAAATGCCTACTTGTGTCCAGCGCATTCTCTTGGTCCCCTCATGTGGTGCTCGCGTATCCCCGCCCCGCAACTGAACCTGAAAATTACGGACCAGCTGCAGTGCAGTGGTCAAAAACTACAGTAAGAATAGGAGCACGGTCTGTGGTGGCAAGTTCCTTCCCATTTTACGGAGTCACGCAAAATGAGTTCCTTCCTACATTGGCGGTTTGATGCATGTTGAACGTTAAACTCGGCAGTGACGATGCCCAGTCGCATTTACGACGTGCAAAATCGTTGAATTGCGACTGGATGACAGCTCGTCGCTGATTTTGGCCATCATCCACTACGTACCTAGTAGGTATGGAGCCGAAGAGTCTCATTCCCTTGCTTGATTGAGCCTCAGACCAGGAAGGTAGGGAGGGTCGAAAGCAGTCCTCTTCTCCCACAATATTTTTCAAGTTACATGAACCGAGTTCATGGATCGCTATGTCTCCTTTTCCCAGCAACATGCATGGTCTCTGCTGCCTAGGCTTGTGTATCTACAATGGAAGGAACAACAGTCAACCTAGGAAGCATCACAGTTGTGCACAAAAACTCGCCATTATCGCTCGAACTGACAGCCTCTTTCCTCATCGACTCGGACACGACTGCTCTGGGATTAAACCAGCTGACCGCAACTGACCTTTCCCAACACTCCAAAGACGGCAACCTATGGATGGCAAAGTCGGGGTCGTGCCAGCTTGTCTTCAAGACGTTCATCAACGGCCAGCTACCGGATTCAAACGTGATCCATCCACCTATCATCTCATCTCTAACTGGTATGGCTGCTGAGTGCTCGGTAAGCTTCAGCGAGATCTTCCAACAACACTGGCGGACCCCGTTTGCTGACTTGTGGTATTTAAGCTCTGGGAAGAACTTGGTCTCGAGCTTAAAGCTAAGCATTTGCCGCTTCCGTTTGGTTCCCAAGAGGAGGATCAAAAGTCGGAGACTTCGTATTTTCTTTGCCACCCGGATCTCTCCTCGGAGATGATCGTACCGCACACACTGACTTGTGTAAAGTTCAAAGGCTTGAGCTGTAACATCAATCTTCGGCTCGATACATCATGGAGGAGGGCCGGTGAGCCTAAACGACCGTCAAAGATGGCCGATGAAGAAATCGCCCAGGTAGGACTAAAGCCTCCTGTGGTTGAAGAGTCCAGGACTGGCGCGCGAAAAAATCGACGACGGATCACAAGAACCGTTAACGTCAAGTATACGGACACTTCGCAAAGACAGGCCAAGAAAGCCTGCCCTGTCACCCAACCCGATTTGGCAAACTCCAACTCAGACCCGGTCATCCTCCTCTCGATCTCGGAAGAGGAAAAGAAGGAGATGGCATTACTCCTGGATGCCGCGCTTCGGAAGCTTATAGGAGTCAAGCACACTTTCCCTGGGGTGAAGGTTACGGAGGACAGACAATTTCCCTCGCTGATTGAAATTGCGCCGGCAGTATGGAATCTTCGTTACTTACAGGTATGTGAGCGGCATGGAGTATGATTACTTGGATGAGGACTAACGATAGTAGTCTATGACAGCACATGCGCAAACGATTCCGGCCATTGCCAACGGATTAGCCAGATTGCGTAGCGCCCGGTCAGCAATGCTGAGAGATAAAGTGAACAAACTGCTTGGAGCTGGAGCTGAAGATAAAGCTATAAGCAGCACCCTAAGCCACTCGGATGATCTCGAAAATGGAATCGGAAAGGAAGTTGAGAAGCGGCTGTGGTCATTATGTCAAACAAGTATCCATGTCAAGCCTGCTTCCAAGACAGGCAAGCGAAAAGCCAAGGGCAATGGAGATGCCCCGGCAGATACACAAGAGGAGGAGATCCTGGAGGGATACACTCAACTTACTGATGATGGTTGGGTGAATCATCACCCGTCCTTGACTCATGATTACCACCCTTTTGACCTTTTTGAACAAGGTGCGAACACAAACACAGACATGGATACGCACACGGACGCGGTCGAGTACGACTACCAATATCAGTTTGGAATCGTCGCCCTGCTCGGGGATTACAGCGAGGAAGAAACATACGGTGAGGACGGGGTCGAAGAGTGGTATGATGTTGAAGGGGAAGATATGACACTTGACGAACTCCAGCCGAGCTCCGAAGGTGACTACGTCTATGCAGATGGGCTTGGGAGGCTTCATCCGATTTCGAGGCACCAGGCATTCCAGACATGTTTGATGGGCGGTCCAACCCTGACAGGCAATGAGCTGCATTTTGAAGAGATGGAGGATGATGATGGTGAAGAATTTGGCGATCCGGAAGAGTATCTATGAGAATATCTAGAATGGGATTCTGCATGAGATTGTAGATTCAGGTGATAAGGAACCCAATTCTCTACCAGTCCGTGAACACTTGACCAATTATCCTTTCAATGGGTTTTTCGAAGTTTGAACAGAGCGGACGTAATTGCACCAAGAATCTTCCGCTGTGCCATACTGACAGCCCCAAGCCTACAACTCCAGATAGCCTATCCATAGCATACAATCCGTTGGGCAATCAGTCAGTTCCAGATATTTGCGAGCATCAAAAAGTGACGTCGCTTTCTTCCCTGGCGTTTTCCCCCACCAGGAGACCAAGAAGCATATCCATTTGTGGGGCACCCTCTCCTGTGCGTTGCTCGCATCCCAGATAACTATGAGGCTCGGATACGACCGGCATAGTGCGTCTCTCGCGTTGGAAAAGAGCATGTGTTTGTCCATCCGTCGAGATCGCGGTCGCAATTCCCCAGAAATAGTCCCTTCGTCCATCGATAGCTTCCCGCTCTTTCCCTCATCGCCCATCATTGTCGAATTTGACCTCCGCTGCTCTCTTCCCGTCCGCATACTCCTTGCTCAGCCCGCAGCTTCCATTCCCACATATCCTCAGAACACCTCGGCAATACTAGCCTTTCATCTCATTTCATCCACCCTAGCCATTTCATCCTACCTCGTCAATTCATCTCCTCTCGGACCATCCTCTCACCTCCCCCCACCCGGCGCAGCGTTTTTATTATCTCCCGTGCCCGCTTTCTTTTTCTTATTCTTAGCCGCCCGCTGCTCCGGCTTCATCGTGGCATAGTGGATGTACCACATCAGCACGCATTCGAGGATGACGGCGATGAGCACGACGATGAGAATGGTGAAGAGGATGGGCTGGTCGTTGAGCACGGCGACAGCTTGCGGGGTGGCGCCGATTTTGAGAAACCAGTCGAATTGGCCCATGATTGCGGTGGTTGGCTTGTTATTCGAATTATGGAAGGACAAGAGTGTGTGATGTGATGTGTCGGTTAGTTGTGGCAGATGCTGTGCTCGGGAATTATGCGATGATGATATTGATGATGGCCGATGAGGATGAGACGTGCAATGGTATCTTGTCTTGAGAGTATGTAGCCGCCAGGGCGTTTGGCTGAAATTGAATTAAGAAGTTGCGATGATATTAAAATTGGTAATTGGTATGATCCTTGATCTGTGGTTGGCTTTGCTTTCGCCGCGTGACAATGAGAGAGAGAGAGAGCAACGCGTGTGATGAAGTTATTCACAGTCGCAGCTTGTGGAAAGTGGACAAGCAGATCAAAAGATTCAGAATAAAAAAAAAAGAAAAAACAAGGAAAGTCAGAACGTCGAAAATACTGGCGACGAAAAGATACTCACGGTCCCTCCTTTTTCTCGCAAGAGCCAGAACCTACCAGGAAGATGAAACCAAGGACGTCACATTGAGGAGAGGCACAAGTCGAGATGTCAGGCGACCGACGGCGCGCCAACATGGGCGGCAAGAGAGGTTCAATTGTTAGGGGTTCGTTTGGGTGTCGGGTGTGCTGTTTCAGGCTCGCTGAGCTGCGACAGAAGAAGGGTCCCCAAGCACATGAACACCTTACGTAAGCAGAGAACGGGGCAGCTCGTCCGGCCTGGCTCCCTTCGGGCCCCAATGTGCCTGAAGGATTGCCGTGGCCGGGCGGTTCGAGTGCGGGACGTAGCGGGAGCTCTGGGAAGCTCGGGCCACCAAAAAATTGCTGGGGACCGGTCGGATCGATTCCGTCGCAGGCCAAATCGGATTGGCGGGCGCCAGTCAGGTCTCCAAAAAATAGTATGTAGAGCCGCGAAATAGACTCGACGAGGGACGTCCGGCTCTGAGGGTTCTCACAACCGCGAAGGAAAGGAAACCAGCTGCCTCCATTGGGGGACCCCCAACAACCAGTCCTCCCCTCCCGTCCTCCCACCACCTTCCACTCCTCCGGCCTCGCCCAGCCCAGTCAGTTCCCGCTTGCCAACCATGAGTGCGGCACGCTTCGCTGCCCGGAGTTTCCTCTCCCGGCGTCTGGCCGCCACTGTCCCGGTCGCTGCACCGGCAGCTTCCACCCCGGCCGCGTCGACATGTCCCGCCGCCCAGCAGCAGCAACAGTCCCAATTCCACAGCTCCGCCCACCTCGAGGCCCGGAGGCGGTCGCGCTTCAAGAATGTCCGTGCCGTCGAGATGGGCCTGACCTCGGACGCAAAGATCGAGAGTTTTACCAAGAAGAAGTTCGCCGAGTACACGGAAGATGAGAAGGCCGCCCTCGCCCACAACTACCCCGCCGAACATATGGAGGCCATCGAAGCCGCCGAGGCTGCCATCGATCCCAGGGACCTGACGATACAAGGTCGTCTGCGCGTCGACCCGTACCGCATGCCCTACATCGACGACTTTAGCGAGATACAACCTATCATCGACAAGCGCGCTCGCCGCTCGGCGCCCCCCAGCCACAAAGCGCGCTTCATGGACGTTGACGAGTTCACTCAGGACCTGATCAACTGGGCTGACGAGATCCGCCGGGGCGAGCCGACGCACAGGATGAAGAAGCTGAGGGACTTCGTACCGGAGGAGTTTTTTGAGAAGCCTGAGGGGCAGTGGCCCAAGGACGTCCGGGACGAAGCTTTTACCAAGTTCTGGGCCTACCTCAAGGATCAGAAGGACGCCGACGCCAAGGCCGCCGCCAACGCGACCGGTCCTACCGACGGCGACATTCTGTCGTACATTTTGGAGCGCTCGTCCATGACCGACAACAACCTGCAGGCCAACTCGTCGCTGGCGCCCGCCCTTCCCGATAAGGTCCCCGGCGTGGAGGGCAAGTACAGGAACGCGATCGACCCTGCCGACGACGGTCTCGATGACAAGGGTCAGTATCAGGAGCTGAAGAAGCGGACGGGCATGTCGGTCCGTCAGATTCTCCAGCTCAAGACTAAGAAGCTGGTCCATCGTCGCGTTGTGAACCAGACCCGTCTAGGCAAGATTGCCAGCGACTCGGTCATGGTCATTGCCGGAAACGGCGACGGCTGGCTCGGTCTCGGCATGGCGAAGTCGGTTGAAGCATCCATCGCTGTTGAAAAAGCCACTCTGTTGGCCATCCAAAACATGCAGCCCATCCCCCGCTATGAAAACAGGACCATTTATGGCGAGGTCACCACCAAGGTGTCAGGCACCATTGTGCGCCTGAACTCGCGTCCTCCTGGTATGTCTTGGTCGTTTTCGTTCCTCCTCCCCCCGCGCCCCCTTCTTCTTCTTCTTTCAAATTGTACTTGTATCCCACTAACATCTGAAATTTGTCCAGGATTCGGTCTCCGCGTCTCCCATCGTATCTTTGAAATGTGCCGCGCCGCCGGCATTCGTGACCTCAGCGCAAAGTTCCTGCGGTCACGCAACCCCATGAACACAGTAAAGGCCACCTACCAGGCCCTTCTCAGCCAGCCCAACCCTGAAGATCTCGCCATCGGTAGGGGAAAGAAGCTCGTCGATGTTCGCAAGGTTTACTATGGCGGGTCTGTATACTAAGCAAAGCGCAAAAGAAGAAAAAAGAACAAGAAGAAGAAGCATTGTATTATTCCCCCCAAATTTTGTTTCATGGATGTGCGCTGCTTGTTTCTAATCTGTAAATATATGTACATTACGTTATACTGAAGACCATGAAACTGAGCGGAAAACCACATACCTGTTATGTTGGTGGATGGGTGGCTGTCCGATATGTGTTGGTTATATATCCATGCGATTTGGGGAACATTGCGTGGTAGGCCCAAGTTGGATGATGTTGCTCGCTTGTTTCGGCGTCCAAAAGGGACTGTCTCCTCGATATTCCCTCTCCTCCCTTTCCTCTGTTCGGCACATCCAGCCCACAAGCATATTACTCCTCTGTCTCTGGCCGAAAGTTGTCCCTCGTTCTTTGTCCGATGCCGGCCATAGTCGTATGTCGCATAATACCCTGTTATCCATCTTCACCACCAATGAAACGGCATTCTTCCCTTCCTCTCTCTCTCTCTCTCTCTCTCTTTTTCTCTCTCTTTCTCTCTCACTCCCACGCATCTCTCCCGCCAGTGCTCTTCCTCTTCTTTCACGATTGCTCCCCAACACCACTCCCCGCCCCTCCAGGTCCGTCGCCACCACCACCACCACCACCACCACCACCATTCTCCCCAGCAGCAGGGCCACCCCAATCAATCTCCTGCTGCAAAACAATACTATAAACGCTCGCCTTCATAAGGGTAAACACCAAACTGGTCTTGCGCTCCAGCTCCCTTAGTCCATCGAGAATTGCGACGGAGGGCTGGGAGGCCAGCGTATCTAGTACTGAGGCAAGCTAGTAGTATCAATGATGATTGTTAGTGAATGGTTATTTATATATTATGGTGAAGGTGAAGGAGGGAAGCGGGGGGGTTGGAACAGGGTATTTAGTGTATAGTTGGTGAAGAAAGAAAACTTGAATTGGTGTACCTTCTTCATGTTCTCTGCCAAACGCTCGTATTCGTCAAGAACATCTTGTTCTGTTGGTGTGAGTTCTGGTGGGGAGTTGAGGAGGGAGTTTGATTGTTGTTGTTGCTCCATTTGGTGAAGATGTGTTTTTGGGGTTGACTTTTGGATTACAGTGTATACTTGTCAAGTTGCATGGATTGATTGAAAAGCTAGGTTGCTTTCGAAATTAGACTTATGGAGACGTGAGGTTTAATGGAGAGAGCTGACGGGAGTGAAGTTGTTGATGGGTGAAACAGAAGACAGTCGCGATTGGACGCGCAGTGCAGGAACTTTGATGGGAAGCATGTGGTCGGTGTAATTACAGCGTCTTGGTAAGTGCTAAATTACACTGTGTACGGTACTCAAGTTACAATACAGTAAACGCTTTGTTTTGGTGTCCCTCGAGGTTTTTCTGGACCTGTAGACAGCAGATCTACTCACATCACCTTCGTACATTGTCCCAATATGACCCTTGACATACACACCCTTGATTACAACCTTCATCCTATCCCTTACCCGTTTTCTTTTTGTTCTTTATCGGTCTTGGGCAGCATAAGATATACAACCAGCCCGTGCTCTGCTAATAATATTCTGAAAAAGTATCAATCAAGTCATGGCGACTCCCAGACGTTGCACACCCATTACCATAGACAGATATCATGGAACCATCCTCAACGGGATACAATCGAGCGGCATTTGCAGATCTTCTCAGGGATAAGACATCAGTAGGTCCTAGTCTTCCTCCTCCTTATTCCACTGGCCGAACTCTTTTGTCTTTCGTGCGCCTCCACGCCCACCGGCACATCCTCCAGCGCTCTCAGCTGCTTGGGGTTCACAATCCTTTTGACAGCACCATACCAGCCCAGTTCCTGTCTTTTCCACGCCTTCGGCTTGATTCCGTTGGATGGTGTCATCTCCAGTATCACGCGAGGTAGCGCTTCTCCTGACACCGATCCCTCTTCTGACTCATCCATCTGAGTGGTCTCGGTTTCCGTGTCTGCATCAAATCCCACACGTCTCTGAGGATTAGGGTAACTCATAGTTTGTGCTAGCGTCATCCCAGGGGGCATCATCATCAAATGGACGTGGCCGGGTGAGAGTGGTGTAATGGGGGTTGTGTCGACAGTCTCCTCGTTCAGTACCTGACCATTGTCTTGAATATTGCTATCGCCATAGTGACTGCCTGTAGCCGTCGGCAGTTGGAAAGACGGCGGTAAAGATGGACGTTGTTTGTGGGGATCCGTTTGAGAGAATGGTTGAGCAGTCGGTGAAGCAGTATCGGGCGGAGGATAAAACCCAGTTCTGTCTGTGCTTCCCACGAAAGGGTTGATTCCGACTGTTTGCTCCTCGTCAGTCTGTCCTCTTTGATGAGCATAGCTGCCACCTTCCTCTTGATCCAGGTTAACTTCCGTGCCATGATCATGGGTTGGATGACGTCGCATCTCCATCTGTCTCTTCATCCGTCTGTGCTTTTGCCAGATAAGTTTTCCGATCCACCAGCGCCATGTCTTCAAGGATAGGAAGTCCTTTGGGGGTGTTTCTTCCGTATCCCCTCCACCTCTGTTCCGATCCATATCGGTAACTCCAGCCCCACAAGTGTCACCTGTGTCATCAATATTTACCCCCACAGGAAGATCAGGAAGGGGGTAAGGAAACACTGCAGCCGCACTCGACAGTGAACTGACTACCACCCGTTCAGTGGCAACCTCAACCCAAACCTCAGCCTTACGGACTATGTCCGCGTAAATGATCAGGCAGGCAACGATAGAAAGCGGAATGACTGCCGCCCAGAAGATAAAGAACTTGGGAGCGCCCGGTCCGTACTCGTCGCCCATGGAGAGAATCCCAGAGACAATGGGAAATGGAAGTAGGATTCCACCTAGATAGGAGATACGTTCGAGGGCCCGTTGGTTATCGGCAGATAATCTGTTGGATGTACCATGCTGGTGGGAGCTGATACGATGAAGATGGCTGCGTTGAGGTGTCAGGCTTGCATATGTTGCTATCCGGTTCAGGTTGTCACCGGGTGTTGTCGTCCTGGATAGAGGAATGTTTGTGACCTTAGCTGTAAAGCCCATGGCCGTTGATCTCTTTTTCGGCGGCTTGACCTTCTCCTGGGTCACGCATGTTGGTGGGTTTTCGGGAGGCGTGGGGATAGGTAAGAGAATAGGGACGCCTGGTGATGCATTGAGAAGAGCGATTCGGCGCTTAGCTCGAGAAAGCAGCGTCTTCCATTCCGATCCAGATGAGGAACCTCTGTCGCACCCCTTGATATGGCCATTGCGGTCGGCATAGAAAGGAGTGAAGTCGGCGTTTCGCTCAAGTGATTGCACCATATACCAATAGAGAGTGATGCTCTTCGATACTTCTCTTTCGATCAACTTCGGCTGCGACGCTGTCGGGGGCGCCAAAACTTCGAACAACTCGAGCCAGTGATTGTAGACAATGTCGGACAGGACATTCGCAATGAAGCTTGCTGGATCAACCACCTGCGTGTTTTCATTGGAGTTGTGGCAGAGCATTTCGTAAACCAAGTCCTCCAGGCATGGAACCTCTTCATCTTCACGATTGTCATACCCGTCGGGGGCAGCAACTCGGGGTCTCTGTGCTTCCATGACCGGGCTAGTCTTCTTGGTCGTAGGAAACGACGCCTTCCGTAAATGTGACGGAGCAGCATCCCTCCACAGCGGCTTATCGAGGAACAGTACTCCAGCCCGAGGGTTCTGTTGCCGAGTAGAACTAATCCAGAGAGATGCTCGGTTGAAGGCTGCCGCCAATCCTTTCGGCGTCTTCCCGTCTTCTGTCAAAGGTAGGACCTTTGGGTCAGTGACCATCAGATCAAGACCATCAAGACCCGCTCCGGAGCCGTGATGAATCTCCCGTCTGGACATCGAGGTACAATCGAATCCTTGTATAAGCTCGGGGTACTCAAACTGCGCAAAGCAACCTGCTTCGGCACTTCTGATGTTCGAGTGACCTCGTCTGCGTGGAAGGGTCAAACCAGAGCGTGAACAGTAGCTTCTCCGGGTAGCATGTGCATCCAGGAATGCGGAGTCAATGCTGAGCTCCTCGCTGTTGCGGAGAATGTCGACGTAATTCGCAGGGAGGCCATGAAAAACAAACAAGGTAACAGTTCCGTCCTTGTCCATGCCCGATATCAACTCACGCAGATCATCTGGACTGCCGACAATCGTCCTCCGGCATTGTTTCTTGGGATCCCATTCTAGGATATAGGCGGGCGATGTCTCGAACTCGTGGAGGGGAGAGGCAAAGGAGCTCAAACGCTGGTGGTAGAAGGGGGAAGAGGCATCGCGAGGCGGTTTCTGTTGATGATGCAGCTGATGCTTGTATACGGCCTCGTGGGCATTGTTCTGCTCTTCGGCCGAGTCCATGTCGTGTCGGGGTCTTGCAAAACCTCCGTTGGGCTGGGGGCTGCCACACATCGATGTTGACAGGTTGGTTATCGGGGACGAAGGGCTTTTCGTGAGGACGAAGAATGACGAGAACAGCCCAACGCACTTTCACTGCTGCTGTAAAGGCTCCTTCCTTCCTGTGTCCATGTTGATGGTCCTTCCATCATTGAATGTCTTTACGCAGAAGGTGCTTGGAACTGTCATGGCGTCTTGCAATCAGTGATGCTAGTTTCATCGTTGCTTCTGTTCGAATGTCTGTTGAGAGGCTCGAGTGACCTAGGTGGTGCCTAGAGGTACTAATGTGCATTCATAATTCCGGTTGCTGCTTTCCGCTTGATGCCATCATTACCGCGATATATTGTGCTTATCTCTCAAAATCGGCAAGTACTTCCAGCACTTCCTCGAACACCGTGGCCACCCGACCATTTCACAACGGGACTGTCATCTATGCATCTGGTCAACGCAGCTTGGGAGAGAGCTACCTACCAAGCATAGGCTGGTTGCAGACAATCAGGGAAGGCGACCATGAGCGACGGTGGTCACACAGCAGATATCCGCATCCAAATGCCACTCGTCAAATTTCCGCTTCAGCGATGTCGAAGCAACAGAGCGGCCAAGACGAACTCGGTCTGCAACTGTCGAGTGTCCATCGTCTTCTTCTCCAAATAAGACTGATTGAGTGTTGTCGTGGAGTGGATGACCCTCGGCAAAGATGTAGCTTCATTGGGCTTCAAGGAATTGCGTATGGCTCCAGGTCAAGTCCTCGCATCGTACACCATCGTTGTATTTACTGCGCAATTCTATTCGTGCTACACCGAATATTTCCAATATCTCATGACTAGATACTTTTTCCCGCTCATCGCCACTCTCCCATCGAATAGCACCGACTGTTTTTCTCTCCTCCAATAAGTTATATGCCGTATAACAATAAATCTTTGCTAGATCTGCACAACTGCGCTGGTTTCTTTCAATCCTTTCTTCACCCTGAACTTCCCTTCCAAAAAAAGAAAAAGAAAAAGCAAACAGAAAAAGAAAACGCCACCGCCATGAAACTCCTTCAAATGAAGATGGAAATGAATATGGTGAGCCAAACCCCTTAAACAAAGTCCTCTGAGCACTCGTGTCCACGTGTCAGTTTAAAGTGAGTGAGATGTGTGAACGAGAAGAACGAGAAACTACGCTGCAGGCAGGTATGTTTCAGCTCTGCAAGTAGTAAAACAGATAACAGGAAACACAGTGCAGAGCGCCAAATGAGTGTCGCCATGGGACGCGCCCTGCGACAGAACGCAAGGCAGAGGCGCGAGAGATGACGGAGCCATCAATTGATTGCGATCCTCACCAGCTGAAAATGCCCTCAATAAAAACGACCAGGAGTTGGGACCTCCCGAAACTCCCTCATCGTTTCTCATAAGCATCAGAATGGTACTCTTCATCCCCGTCGTGATGTAATGTAACGCTGTTGAACTCTTCGAATGGATCAACGGCATTCTCGCCTGGTGTTACCATCCCACTTTCGAGAGGTTCCCCTTTAAGGCCCATCTGCCTGGACCCGCTGATATCCACGCTCTCACTTTCCTTGACGTTGCGGAAGTTCAGTGTATCAATGCCGCGACCTTGGTTCGGGACAATGGGCGGCTTCATGTGACGGATCAGAGCCCATTGTGTCGTCCG